GGAGATTGGAAACTGTGTCTCAGATCATATGGCCCTGACCTGTGGAGAACCACAGGGGTCGATCCTGGGACCTCTTCTGTTCAATTTCTATGCTGCCGTTAGGTCAGTTACTACGCAGAAACAAAGTGACCTATCACAACTATGCAGACGACACTCAGATCTATGTTTTACTGACTGCAGGAGAACATGGACCAGTGGACTCACTGTATCCAACAGATTGGTGAGTGGATGCAAAACAACTTCCTTCAGCTAAACGCAGACAAAACTGAAATGATTGTCTTTGGTCCCCAGAAACAAAGAGAGAGTGTCATCTGTCAGCTACAGTCTCTCTCCCTAAAACCTTCAAACAAGGTCAGAAATCTAGGGGTAATACTGGACTCAGACTTAAATTTTAATAGCCACATCAAATCAGTAACATCAGCAGCTTTTTACCATCTAAAAAACATTGCCAGGATCAAAAACATAGTGTGTAAAGCAGACCTGGAGATTCTTATCCATGCATTTGTCTCCAGTAGGTTAGACTACATCAGATGTTGTTGTTCAGTGTCATATAAGCCCATGTGGGCTGGGCACTTTTGTGCATGACACTTAAATAAATAAACTCAAACTCAAACTCAAACTCAAACTGCAATGGCCTGCTCACTGGTCTCTCCAAACAGGCTGTAAAACTGACTAGAACCAGGAAGTACGACCACATTAGTCCAGTTCTCAGGTCTCTGCACTGCCGGCGGGGCAAACGAGAAAAAAACTATACATAGTTCCCACATGACGTCACTACATACGGGGATTTGCCGACCCGGCACCATTTGTGTTGGCATTCTGTGGGCAAAACAATAGTAAAAGAAGCTGAAACGTGTTAATGTCGTGATAAAGTTGAAAATGGTCATCTCCTGCTGGGTCAATGGATGTTCAAATCGTGCCGGAGGTTCCGTTAAACTTGGATTTTACAGTATACCCATCATTAGACTTCATGAATGTGAGAAGACTAAGCTTTTGTCAGAACAACCACGGAGGTTATGGCTTGCGAAGATAAACAGGCAAGAAACTCCCTCAAAACACGCAAGAACATGCTCGGAGCACTTTGTGTCAGGTGCGTATCGTATCTTATAATGTGTTGACAGACGTAATTTACTCAGTACTAACTTGTGTATGCTGATATCTGGTTACTTGAGAGTTTCATTATTTAGATTACTTTATCATGAGGAGGATCGGTGTCGCGTCCGAGGCTCTCGAGGGCAACGTAAATGTATTAAATAGATAATAATAGTTCTATGGTGGGCTAAAACAATGTTCACAAACAGCATTGCTTCTGTAAAAAGATCTGTGTCATAAAATAAACTGCTCTTTACGCCTGGAAAAATCAGTTGCCCACCATTCACCAAAACATACGGTCAAAAACGCGGAAATAAACAATAACAGCAATCCAGAGTGTCCGTGTGGCATTAGCATTAATTAAATTAATTGTTAATATAATTAAAATAATTAAATGGAGCTCCAACTGGTATTAAATCTAAATTTTTTGAGAAATGTTTGCATTGCTTGTTAATTTTTGCTGCATAATTTGACCAAATATGTAAAACATGTCCGTAGCACGTTAAACTGTGGTGCCATTGTATTAATATACAATTATTTGCTCAAAAGTTGCCCTTTTTTTCCAATTTGCGTTTGAATATCTACATTTATTCTCATTCTTCTGTTTAATGGAATGCACAAACACAGCAGCGTGCCATCAAAGATGGCGTCTCCGAGGAGGTCATGTGACATTCATTGGTCTGTGGGAACTATGTATATGTCATTTTAAAGCTTATTTTCTCAGCTATATTTATATGTAAGTGTAAACGATATCAGACTTTGCATTAAAAAGATATAACGCATAATATGGGCACAAAATAAATTGTGTTTGTATAAGTTTCTTACCTTGCGTCTTCTGCTGCTCCAACAAATTAGACTTTCCCCATTCTTGCTTAGTCTCTTTCTCTCCGTAAGTCTTCATTGAAAAAGAATATCCACTTGTATTTCCCAAAGTATAATCCATTCTTCAGAAATAATCAAAACATTTGCATTTTTCTGTTGCAAAAGAAAACGCTCCGAAAAATATTCAGGCTTCTCTTTCACATTTCACCAAGTTTGAGCTTTGTTTACCCCCACAAACATCATATTCACGTTTTCCTTGAGTCCTTAGCTTCAGAGAGAGGTTCCATGAAAAGATAGGAGCAGTTTTCAGTCCGCAGGACCCTTGTGAAAAAGACAAACCGCATCCACTTGCACAGGGTCCGTTTTTCCCTTGTTGTTGATTACAGGCTAGCGCAATGAGCTAGCACTGAATGATTGACGTGTCTAAGTAGCCAATAAAAAGAGCTTTCTTTTGGTGGGTGGGACTTGTAGGAACTCTTTTAATTTTCCTAGTAAAAACGTGCGTAAAGACGCTGTTAGTACTGCTGCTCATTATGCATTTACACTACTAAAAAATTTATTTTGAAAAAATGTAAAAGAAAATCACACAGATTTGTAACTTATAAGTACCAAAACTAATAAATATGCTTTTTATGATGGTGAAATGTTAGTAAAGCAGTTTGGCACCATTTGGCACCATTTTTTCCAAATTGGTTCCGAAAGGCCCTACTTGATAAAAAAGAGAAACTGCATAAAAACTATAAAACTTAGAAGTCTGAATCTCTGAAACTTTACACAGTTGTTGTCAACAACACAATGAACAAATTGGCGTTGAAAATGTTCTTCTTCCAATGAAGTAGGCTTTTTTAGGGCATTTATACATTGAATTTTTTAGGCGAGGCTAAAAAAACAGTTTTTTTCCCCGAACTTCAAAGGATGCAGAGTGAAATAGGAATGACATACATTATTTCAGTGTATATTTACATAAACTAGAAGGGCCTAGCTTTAAAATGATGCATCACACAAGTATGTAAGATGTAAGATGTGTTTTTAAATCAGCAAAGATATTTGGGTATGCCGAACTTTTGTGCACGAGCCAAAACAGATGTAGGAGTTAAAGAGGTTAAAACAGCTCTGCTTGTGTACAAGTCTCTCCATGGCCTCGCACCAAAATATATTAGTGACATGTTAGTCCCATATGAACCGGCCCGGACTCTGAGGAGCACAGGGACTGGACTCCTGTTAGTGCCCAGAGTCAGGACTAAACATGGGGAGGCTGCATTTCAGATTCATGCTGCTAAAATCTGGAACAGTCTTCCTGAAGATGCGAGACAGGCCTTCTCTCTGACAATGTTTAAAACCAGGTTAAAGACAGTTCTGTTTAGCAGTGCATACAACTGAGGGATTTTGTATTTGTATCTTTCTTTTTAATGTTCTGTGATTATTTATGTTTTTAATGCTTTCTTATTTTGTTCAGCACTTTGAATTGCCTTATGTATGAATTGTGCGATACAAATACATTTGCCTTGCCTTGCCTATATCACTTACAAAATTGTCTCTTCTTCATTTTGTTGAATGAAGGTCAAAAATAGTGTTCATACTTTCCACATAGTTTATTCAACATTTGTAACAACAGTATAAACTTTTTTCAGTGAGCTGTCATCTCATCTGTCTTGGATGCTGTTAAAATAGACAGAGCTCTGGAGTGTCGGCCAAAGGATTAAGAAACTGAGTCACTGTATATCACTGGGTTGAGGGTCTCTGGGGTTAAGAGGGGAATGGTAACTTTAGTTAGACAAGTGTTGCAGTGTGTTAAACGTGCATGTTTAAAATAGGCCCCATAATCTTTCCCATAATCCACAGAGCCTATCTCTGGCTCCAAAATAGTCAATGCACTCATTATCAGCTTTATGAGAGCCCAAGATAAATTGCTCTTTATCTCATCTAATATTTATTTCTCAGTTGGTAATGTATCTGTCGAGAATACAGGATTATTCTGACCATAGACTGTATTTGATTCTGACAAGGTGCAAGAGTAGATATATCAGGGGTTCCCGAACTGTGAAGGGACCAGAGCGAGCTGAGCTTGTTATACATAAGTGTGTATTTATTGAAAACCAATGGATTAAAATGTAGGGAAAGTTCACTATGACAAAAGAGACTAAAATGCCCACAAATTCGACCGTTCAAGAAGCTGGTGCAAGCTTTTATTTTGTTTTACTAGAATTTGGTAAAACAAATAATCCAATACATAGAAAAGTACAGTTGCCTTACTGTCACCCTAAAATTCCTACAGTTCACAAACATGCCAAGGGATGGAGGCCTAAAACTATTTAGCCTTTAAAAAAAAGGCTTAACCCTATTTAGACAATAATTATAATACATCTATGGCTATAACCATATAGTCTAACTCAGTATTTCCTACTCTTGTAAAGCCGTGGCACAGGCTTAATAGCCTGACTCTCTCCCATGTAGTTCGCTGCACTTCACACATGTGGTTCAGCCAAACGCCTCTGGTGGAGCATGGCGGAACTACAAGGGTCTGGCCGAGCCAGGCTACAGGCTTAAAAGGGCCGTCCCAAAACCTGTTAATATAATACATCCATGCCAAAACCGCATAAACATGAAACTGCAACTGAACAATGCAAAGTAATTCTCAACAAATGTTTTGTATAGAAAATAAAACAAATGCAAAAAAGTATTTCTAATCTTCTACATAATTTGATTTTCATATTTTTTTTGACCATTTAGGTGACATTAGGCATCTCAGGCCACATAACTCCCCGAGACAGAGGCAGCGCTAGAGTTCACCACAAGAGTCAAGACCGGAAGTCCCATTTTTGAACCGTCTAAACCGGGAATATTTACATTTTAGCAGCAGAGATAAACTGATTATTTATGTGAGTATTAAATTACACTCACGGATCATACATTCAACAGTAAAGATGTTGTTTGTAAGACCATCTGTGCTGTTTGATTGTGTAGTACTGCGCTTCGTCAACACTAACTTTAGATCTGACACATCGGGCGTGTGTAACTAACAACATCAGTCATAATACAGCGCTTTTTGAGATTGTCTTATTGTACAAATCCGTGTGTTACAGGAAATGGCTGATTTAGAGGAGTTCTCCAAACGTATTAATGACAGACTGGCAGCAGTAACGCGAATGCTGGATCTCTCTACTACAGGTAAGAGCTACATTATTATTATTATTATTACATATTCCTTTCACTCTGCTCTGATAATCTAACGCTACTAGTCACTATATCTGCTGCTATTATTACTATTGTTTATTATTATTGGTTATTTTTCCTTTTATTCTGTAATGTGCACTACTATGACATTGAAATTTCCCACTGAGGGACAAATAAAGGTTTGTCTTATCTTATCTTAGCTAACAAGCTTGTATACATAATGCAACATATATGGGAAATTTGATTGTCACGGTTTTTTTTTATAGATGTGCCTCAGAATAAGATGAAAAAAGTTGGTCAAGAGCTGTTTGCTATTGAAGGGATTTTGGAAGAGTATGAAAAGTGTGTGAGTGTTCAAAGAGACCAACTTCAGCAACTGAAAGTAAGTAAATTTTTGTGTGATTCAATTCAATATTGTGATTTCAAAGCATGATTCATATTTTGAATATGTCTAAATTCAACAATCTCATTCAAAAGTTTAAACAAAACAAAAAAGAACAAGCCATGTCTACCAGGATTTAACTGGTTTAAATGCAGTTTAGAGTTGATTTTTTTTTGAAGATTACCTTTTGGAGGAGATGAACAGAGATTATTTTATTTGCTTTACTTCATTTTTACTTTACCTTACCGAGTATTGGAAAGCAGTTTTTATCATCTTACAAATCTGTTTCCAGAAACTCGAAAAAGCATCACAACAATATGTAGAAGAACTGCGGCACCTTCGAGACAACATCCCTGAACATTTGCCAAAGAAAACAAATCAAGTCAAGTGAGTAACTAAGATTTGTTGAGCTATTTAGCACGTCGTCTGTACAACCAATATCATAATTTTAGTTAAAATATAACATTCAAATTAAATTGTGAGATTAGGACTGTTGCCGTTTTCATTTAGATTTTTTGCTAAATAATCAAAAGGATAAACTTACTTTCCATTTTTGTGTAAGTGATCCATTATTAAAAGCCCACGGAGACGCAGAGAAAGTCCAGCCACAGCAGCCTGAAGTCAAAAAGGTTAGCAAGAGGCATATTAAGGAAATGGAGATCATCACGGTTCCAGAGTTTGAGAGCATTCCTCAGTAAGTGTCTGGAGTACGATCACTGAGACTGATTTATTTAATTCTATATGTTCTAATGAATGTTTTCTCCTCAGGTATATGAAGGGGAGAGTGTCATATGACCAACTTAATTCTGCTGTGCGTTCAATCAATGCATCGATATCCTCCAAATACAAGATACTGCATCAGCCAATGAAAACACTCAACAATCACACACGCAAGTTGCAACAGCAGTTTAAGCAACAAGAGACAAAGGAGACAAAAGGTGAGACATTGAAAGGTCCCTCGTACTGTTTGAATGAAGCTTGACGTTGTTTTCATTTGTAGGTAAATTCTTCATCGTTGAAGGTGACATAAGCGAATTTACCGAGAGAAAAGTAGATAAAAAGTTTCAAGGGATTTTAAACATTCTTCGTCACTGCCAACGCCTCAAGGAGCAACGAGGTGGTGGCATCACTCGCTTTGTTCTGTTGTAGTTTTGTATGTGTTTGTAATCATGCACACTGTCTTTAAAAAATAAAATCTATGACGAGTTCAGAATTGGATCAAATATAGAAAGTGTACACACCCAGGTAGAACTTTGCGAAATATTTTTTCCACTCAGTTATTGGTTGCGTGATGCCATTTATTGTCGAATAAACATTTTCTATTTTCATATTATAAAGACGACAGAAATTACTCTGAGGATATATACTAGATTAGAAGTCTCCATCCCCCAGTTCTCAGTGGATGTGTAACTTTTATAACAGCTTGTAGTCCTTGGTAAATCTGCACATTCTTGACACAAAGCCTCTCGTTCCTGCAAATTCCTGGGCTGTCTTGCATTAACTGGACATTTGAGATATCCCCAGGTTGGTGTTATAATTTTAAAATCGAAAAACGCGTCAGTTTGACAGCGTATGACTTCACACAATCACTAATGAGGGGAAAGTATAAGTATTTCTTTTTTAAAAATGAGAACACAAAGAAATCCGGTTCTGTGTAAACTTTCAACCACAGCTGTCTTTAATGGGGGATCAAAACTCATGCGGTTGTTGAAAATTAACATTGACACTTATAAATATGTTGAATTTTTTTATTTGTCTTTGATGCTTCACCAAAAGTTTGCTGCATAACTACATCCAAAAGCATTCATTATTGTCGTCTCTGTGCTCTATCAATGCTCGAGTGACAATAGTGTGACATCATCAGTGCCGCCGTGACATCACAGCGTCATGGCATGGCTCAAACGGGTCATCAGTAAAAGCAATTGTCCATGACCTCTAAAAAAGCAAAACATTGCACATCAATTTATAGCATAGCATCAGTATCATCAAATACTTTCTGAGAAACCACCCACCCACTAGCCCTGTTTAAAGATTACAATGAAAACTACAAAAATGAAACTTACTAATTGTGATCACATGAAACAAAAAATTAGATAGTCTGAAATAATGGTAAATGTTTATTCATTAAATCTGGTTTCAAATCAAAATAACCAGGACCCCACCGCTAAAATTGACTTTTTAATTGCTTTGAATTGGATTTTCACAGTTGACCCAATTTCATAGATACAGTTTTCAATTAAAGAAAATGTTAAGTACAGTTTTATCTTTATAAAATAATATATTTTACAAAATCTCCTGTCCCCCGCTTTGGGAACCATTACAATAAATAAAATTACTGACCTAACCTTTTGCAACTGAAGTGACAGCTCAATCCAAAGTCAAACATAATAGTATAATATCATTGTAGTGTAAATTCAGGGACCCTACAGGAGCGTCTGTGGCTCCACCTGCTGGCTGATCAAGGTATAACATTTTTGGCTTTCAATAAACAAAATGAATGGATAAAAAAAACAATAATCAGAATAGAATCATTCCGATGCCTTTGCACTGCCCCGTCCAATCATACAATATTTGTTTTAAAAATACATAATATATTCTCTTTATTCACATTTGCCTTCAAACTGGACTTGGTTTTCCCATGTTCAATGCACCTGGAGTTTAGCTTTTCCTGTTTCTCCTCAGAAAATTGAGGGCAGTTGTTCTATCTTTCATGGGGGGAAAAAAGCATGCATTTGGCTGTAAAATGTCTGTATTGGCAGTCAGAATAACCCTTTATCCTTTTGGACTCGTTCCAAGTTTCTCTGTTAAAACACAGCAGTAACCTTCCACTGCAGAACCTAAATTTCACTGTGCTGCTTAAAAAACAAGGTGGTTTTGTTGAGACCAGAAAAGTACAAATTCAATGTTATTCAATGCAGAGCAACCTCCTTCAAAGTGCAAACAAAAAGATGTAGGGAACGCTTCATTGTGCACTACGCTCAAAACAATGTACTTCCCTCATAAAGTACAAAGTCACATATACTCACTGCTAGACCTTCATAGTTTTATTACTATCAACATGTAGCGTACAATGAAGTATATCCTGCAAACCCTCCCACGTAACTTGCATATAACTCTTTATGTTACATCTTCTGTACAGTAACACGTCAAATTATGAGTGGCTCAATGTGCCCCAACATGTCAGTACTTTACCATAGTTTATCAGCGCTAAAAACACAAACCCAAATACAGTATATTACAGTTGACAAAGTTCATGTAAGATGTAGAAGTGATGTGTACAGACAGACAAATCCGTTGAATGTCATCGGTGTGTCTTTCCATCACCAAATAGAGATTGTTGTCGTAATATTGGTTTGTCTCTAGACTTGCTACTAAAAGTGGTCGGATCTGGTCATTAATGTAAAAGCCAGTTAATGTTGAGCTTGTCCTTGAAGCCTGTCTAAAAGTAGAAAATGACTACAGCGTGATAATATTCTACTCAATGAAAAAAAATATTAGAAAGTACAGAAATGCCATTGACTGTCACAGACAACTACAAGCCATCAAGTTCATTGCGTTTTGCCTTAAACTATAGAAAGTGAAAGAGAAACACTTCTAGTTTTTTTTTTTTTTTTACATAAATAAATAATAATGCACAAAAGTAAAAGACACAGAGTCCAACGTTCAAGACAAGATTTTTGTTCTTTTCTGTATTTTTCATACACTTATTAACCAGCGGTAGATGGTCCACATAAGAAAGAGCACAGTTTGAAATCCAACATCCTGGCTGTGGCGGACGAAAGTGAAAAGTCCCAATTACAAATGGTCTGGTCCAGAGGAGAAGTGGACCAGAGGCCAATGGCTGAATTATTCCGCCATGTGCTGGGCAGACCGTTTGTGTTTGGCTTTAATACGTTGTGGTCAGTCAGTCCAGCAGCACAAGGGGCCTGCCATTCGGTGCTTTGACCACATAAGTCTGGATGGCGCTGGGACTCGCGGCTCAGGAGCAGAGGAAACACTGGAACCAACCGCCGGGCGAAGAAGAAGAAGATTTGCATCACTAAAGAGAAGCAGTCCAGGGTGTGGGGAGAGTATGAAAAGTCTAGATGAGGAGGAGGGCAGAGGACGACCTGAGAGGGAAAACCACGGGCTAGAATGTGAATCACACGGCGATGGCTGGGGTTAGGGAACCTGCAAAAAAACACAGTGAGACTATGTGAAAACAGGATTCCTCACATTCAGCTTGAGTTCATCTAAATGCTGTTGTTTTGCCAGGATATCTGCACAGTTTGTCATTCAACTTTGCTTTTACATTGGAAACAAGCATGTGACTTGTGATCCGTGGAGAGGCGAGTCTTCTCACAGTTAGAAAGCTATTTTTAAGAACTAAAATCATCCATTCTGGAGGAGTGTACATGTTTAGAACCGAATTGAACCAAATTTCAAAAACAAAACCTTTGTCACTTACTTGCTGTAAAAGTCAAATCTTAAAAGAACACCAATATCTGCTCAGACACATTTCTGTATTGATTTAGGTGATTTTACAATTTCACTTATATATAGCTATTCTAGTAATGTTTGGTTACTTTATAGTTATACGATTTCTATGGTATTTAATTTGTATCTTGTTTCTTTGCAGCACTTTGGGAACTGTTTGTTTAATACAAATGCAAATGTGCAATACAAATAAAGTGTTGAGCGAGTACTCACTGGAGGGGCATGTCACTTCAACAAATGGTCTCGAGGTGTCGTGAGTTTTGCTGTTAAAATAATTCAAACACAGACCTCACAGTGAATACGTGCCGATAGACATGAAATATACTATCATGTTTTAGTATATAGGAGTCTTACAGGGGCGTCGCTCCACTGGCGGGGAAGGTCTTCAGGTTCGGGGGGGTAGGACATCCAGGACGGGCTACGGTAAGACGAAGGCGGCGACATCACAAAGTAGTCTAGGCATCCGGGCCGATTAGCTGAGATTGCATACACAGCTGTGATTGGGTTTCCTGCAAATGATAATAATAATAATAGACACTCAAAGACGAACAAGAACAAAGCTAAGGAAAGGTAAAGTGAAACAGCTTTGAGAAGTGATTTAAAGTTCTGTAGGAGTTTCTAATGGAATGTGGGAGTGAGTTCCAAAGAGTGGAACTATAATGATATAGTTAGAATAGATCAGACTTAGCAGTACAACACATGTGAATTGTTAGCTTGCTGTCGGAGTAGCTTACCTGTAGCTGTACCTGAATATGTACTGATGGACTGATCGACAGTGACAGCGGGGAATGGAGTTCTGGACAATGGCAGGTAGGGGGCGCCATTGTGTTGTTGACTCTGCAGATCCGAGGTCTCAGTCACACGGGGCTTGAGGCTCATGTCGGGAGTGGAACTGAAAGCAGAAAGTAAATACTATTTTCAGCACATAAATATCTTACTTATGCAATACGTCAAAGAAAGCAGGAGCGTCCGCAGAGGTCCGATAGGTTAAAGCTGGGGTACCTAACTTTCAAACGACAAAATTTGAACTATGAACTATCTAATAAAAATCAATCCTTCTCGTTTCTCGCTCTCAAAAGAGTTTGATTCTATCACTAGCTCTTCATTCTCTGTCACAACTTTGGATACACTTTTTCAGACAGAGAAGTTAAAAAGTCCTCTCTTATTCATTTTTTCATCCTTATTTGGCCAATCAGCTCTCAGCCCAAAGCATCAATTAGTGACTCACAGGGCTTTCTTACAAGTATGCAAAAGACAACATGATGTCTAATAACATGAATACAGTAAGACTCTCTGTTGGGATAAACTAAATGTGTTCTTTTGGGGAGAACAAAAAATCCATTCAGAAAATTCATTGTAATTATATCACAAATGTGCATGTACTGAGACTGGCCTTTCTTCCAGACTAAAATCTAATCATAGTGTTTTTCGACTACAAAATGTAGCACATATTTTCCTTTGAGGCTGAACTATTGCTCAGTGAACTGACATATTCTAATTTTCACAGTGACATGAACATGAGAAGTCATCAGAATCATCATTGTTTTGATCCTGTGCGGTGCCCAAAGGCTCGCTGCATCAGTGACTTGAGAGCAGAGGAGGCTGATGTTGGATGCACTGCTCTCTCACTTTGCATACTAAAGAGGCACATGCAGCGACGGACTGAAGGATGAGCTGACAATACAATATGGCTGCTGCTGTTTGAAACTGTTGGGGATAGTTACGATTTAAATACCATTAGTGAAACAATTCTCCCAAGATCCAAGCTCACAAAGATATTCAAACAAAAAACAACCAGACTCTTGACTCACAGATATGTCCACTTTTTATGCACCTCTTTAAGACCTGAATTTAAATCATTAGGGATGTTGTAGTTTTTGTCTTGATCATGAATGTTCAAATACAGTAAATTGCAAAATTATTTGATGTTATTTATTTATGAATCAAAAGGTTTCATTAACAATAATAACAACTATTTGTCGGACCTGAAAGGCTTTGCATGTATTTGAACAGTAGAATTGATTGGAAATGTTTGACCACTAAATGGCAGTGTTGCTCCTCGGATCTCGCCGTAGCCTGTCTGCAGTGTAAAGTGCCCAGCAACCCAAACTCCTCCACAGCATCCAAATGAAAGCACATCTGACATGATGCAGTCAAAAGAAGAGAGTTTTATCATGAATATTCTGCTCCACCCGGCATTCATCCTTTAAACATGAACATAGTACAGTAAATTAGCTCAGGTTCTGATTGGCTGCAGCTTCATGGAGTGATTTTGGAAATCTTGTGTTGGTATTTGAGAGATCTATTTTTCATGAGTCTCATCTTTTTACGTAACATGCTACTTCAGACAGAAAGCACACAACAAGTAGACCTAGTCTGGAGAGTGTTCTCTATGCTAAAAATATCATTCTGATTGAAATGTCAAGATAAAAATGACTGACACTATATTAATGCACAAAGCAACCTACCACTACTGCGACACATCACCATCACTCACTCAAGTCACTAGTTAGTCCTTCCAGGATTTAACATCTGCTTTGCTCAAATACCACATTTTTCACGTTCATGAACACGCCTCTGTGAGAAAGCCCTTCTCTTCCTCTGCTCACAGATGTGACCTTAGCAAGACTCGAGGATACAGAAACAAGTGCATGTTCGTGACTTAGGTAAATAAGTTCAACAGAAGCACCTGGATCTGTGTCTCTGTACAAAGGGCAGAGGATCTGGATCCAAGCCTTAACCCTATGTGGCCATTGTTTGGAAATGATACTTTGTGCGTGTAAATATACACACAGTATTCATAAATAAGTATCATGTTATTTGGTATATGTTACATGGTATTTATCAGCATTTTCTCCACTATGTTGAGACGTGTCATCTGCTTCGGCTCATGTGTGCATAGTCCCTAAGAGACTAAATTATCACCTGGTTCAAAACACGTTGTTTGCATATATATATTTCTAAATAATAAAAAAAAAAAATTATATTTTCTTAAAAAATAATGATTAAAAACCTAAATTTGTCAACAACTTATTGAATAATTGCCCACTGTCTAGTGAATGTTTCATACCGGCGTATTGAGGTCCCCGGTGGAGGTCTCGATGGGACCAGGGGCGGAGGTGGAGACCCTATGCCCATGTCAGGCAGCTGGGTGAACCGGAATCCCTGATGAAGACAAAAAAACACAGTCTCTTATAACTTAATCATAGATTCAACATTTTTACTTTAATGTTTGGTCCCACTGGGCCAGATACGTGCACAACACATGCCCTTTAAACAGTTCTACCACAGATAAATATAACAGGTAATATACATGAAATATACAACTTTAATATGAAACATTTGTTACCGGTTTTGGGAGGCTGCATTGGTGCATATCCTCATATGGAACGCTGCGCTGCCGGCCTCCACAGGGGTGGTTCATGGTCCCTGGGGCACTAGTCGCTCCGTCACTGTAGTGGCCTGCGTGCGATGGGTTGTAGGCGCTGTGGGCATGGCGGAGGTGACTGTGGGAAAAACATATTGGACATTACAACATGTAGACTTTTATCATGATTCGTGTTAACCACTCAGCAAAACATGCAACATAGAATAGCAGAGATTACTGAAGATCTAGCTAGAAGAAGGTAAGTTATACAATAAATTATATAAAGTTATACAATAAATAATTTGTGCTAAAATAAAAATAAAAGTCGATCTTATCTTATCTTGCTCTAGTGCTGCTGATCTATTTGTCTGAACTCATGCATCCTATGTTATTTCCTCTGTTAAATCTCCGAGCAGATTGTGTGGGACTTAGGTTCATAGCAGTTTCTTCAAAAATAAGAAATCATAAAATCACTCAAGAGCATAGCATATAAGTACTTAGTTGGAGGAGACGGTGGGTCGTGGTCCGGAGGTGCCAGACTGAAGGCGTTTCCCAGCAACATGCGCATCTGCGATCGGACCTCATCGATAGAGGGCTGCGAGCTGAGTGTGGAGGAGTCTGAGCCGCGGTGCGCTCTGACCCCCAGGCTGCCGGTGCCCGAGGAGACTCCAGTGAAGCCCAGAGAACTCATCAGACGGTCCACGTTTGTCTCCTCAAACGGCTCCGGCTCCCCCTACAGGCCATGGACACAATACTCAAGGTCCTTTGCTATACTTTTTATTACACAAGAATGAAAGAAATACAAAATTCAGAGAAAATAGAGACTTTCCACTCTCCATTAGTGGGACTCATGAGGTGAATTTACGAGAGACATTAACGAGTAACGCACTGTCATTATGAATTAGGGCAGCAGTTCATTGATAATGTCTCCAGGGCTCAGACAGTAAATGGTCGTGTGTATTTATTAATTTAAAACAGAATAATGATTATCTATCTGAGCAGGCAAAGTATTGACAGCCCTGAACTAATGGATGGCAGGAAAAAGGGATGCACTGGCACCAAGTCATGATTCTATATTGACTCTCAAATGGATGTCACAGGGTGTTTTGGCTTTGGCTGCAGTCCTAACTGCAGGACCTCAACAAATGGAGACAATCCAAAAAGACCAAACAAGTCTACAAGTTGATCTTTTTTTAAGACCAGATTGGTCTTGACAGCTGTTTTACACAGTTTTTACATAGCCCTCAGGACTATAAATTTGGACAAGGGGGCTTTTCTACTTTTTTACTCTCCCACACCTGGGATTCTGTCCTGCTGAAGTCAGGCTCCAGATGTGCTGTCGTGCCTCTAGTGGTAGGAAGACAGCACCAAAAACTGGCAAGACACGTCACAGGAAGACTGCGTGCCAGAAGTCCAAACTCTCAGGTACAATCAACCCACTCTGGTCTTAAACAAAAATGTGTCAATATTTTCTTCAGACTTGATATCCTCAATGAATGACGTCTTATACAAATACCTCAATTTTATGTATACTTTGTGGCCTTATAATATTCAATATTCTGAGGATTGCAATGTGTAAACACATTTCAGAGTATCTAGTGCAGTAAAAAGGGTTTTCCTATAAGAATCAATGAAAGTTTTGCAATTACTTTTTGTAGATGTGATTCATCCAAATATATGTAGTTGTACTATGGCAGTAACTGACACAGTATGACAGTAACTGAACGCAAATATGACATTTTATCTAAATTTGAACCTGATAAAGGAGTATTGAAGCCACTAGCAGACATATAAATAGATATTTTGTATCCCTAACAACACAACATTTACGTGTTATTGTACTGTTTAAAGAGCAGGTAATGACTAATCAAATAGTTGTATACTGTAGGCTCTGTATTGTACTCTTCACTACCTTCTTGTACTAACCCTTCTCTTCAGGTAAACAAACATTCTCAATACCGCTCCTGATCGCTGTCTTTTTTCCATTTGCCTTTGGCGCACACGGGACCATTAGGCACAATCCCGCCTCCATCTGAATCATTAACATTCAGCGAGGAGCCACATGCGGATGCTGTTACTGTGGCGCAAGAGAGATTTCACACACATTGAGCTCATTTTCTCCTCTTTCCTCTCAGCTTTCATTGCTTCTCATTCTGCGGCTGCCTCTGTCATTGCTCATACTAATATTTCTACTTTGTCTGGCATTAAGCAGCTCTCTGGAGTTCAGCATGAGGTCACTGAAAACCTTTCAGTGTTACCTCAACACATGGAACAGGAAGTGAAGTGTAAGGATTAAACCTTAAACCCGGCAGAGTGCGGATTATTCAAGTCTTGCAGGGCTGACTAGATCGATCCACACGGGGAACTTATATGTGTACTTGTTTCAGATCGCTGCGGTGGATCCAAGCTGCACTTTAATCTAACAAAGTAATAGATGAAGGTGGGATAAAAGGTCAGACTTACATCATAGCCGTTATTGCGTATGCCCCTCCTGGACCTCTCTCGCAGCACGAGCAGGTCCATCTCAGTCTCCACAGGACTGGGGCTGGTCAGGGACTGTCTGCTCCAGTACGTGGGCTCCCGTGGGTGAGAGTACCTGTCAAATGATAATTATGTTTTATGTTTTAAAATCAGACCAATGAAACACATATTTATTTCACTCCATTATAGTAGTTTGTATATAATATATATATTTGTTTATTTTGAACACTTTTTCAGGCACTAATAGTCACCACCCTATATCACTCTATCGTTTGATATCGTTTACTTTCTCATCAGAATGTAATCATAATTGTGTGAACAGTGTCTCTTGGTGTGTTGCTAAGCAACTCTTCTCAATCCCACAGAGCAGCATCTCGAACTGAAATGCACTTAAAATAGCGCTTTAATTATTATTGATTCAATGAAACAGTAAATCTTATGGATTACTTGCTGTAGCCACCATTATGCCCTGAGAACAGTTGCGTCAGACACATAGTGAAATAGGACAACCCTTTTTGGCCTTTTTCCCCAAAATTTGATGTGAAATAATGTTAATTATTCTGTTAATACATTACAGAAGTGTTCTGTGGGTCGAATGAAGTCTTTAGATGAAAAATGTCAAACAGATAACATTCCAGACCTCTTGTGGCAGCCGGCGAACGAGGCCCTCTTCTCCTCGGCCGTCATGGGCTCCTTCAGGCCGCCGCAGCTGTACTGGCGGCGGCCGTGGCCATGGCTGCCAGTCTCAGAGAGGGAGAACTCTCCGTATCCTTTTCTTCTGGGCTTCTGCCGCAGTTTGTTTCTGTAGTGCTCGATTTCAGACTTTGGCTTCAGCCCATTGTGGTTTGCCTTGTATCACAAAACATTTGTATTCATTTTGATGTTCACAAACGTCAGAATAAATGTCAATTTTAAAATGATACAACTTTTGTTATAGCTCAAATACATATTTCTGAACACAAAAGGAATGGAAGAAAGAAAAAAGAAAACCTGTGTGACAAAACAGTGTTAAAAAACAATCTGTTGGTAAAGCAGTCTGGCAGTTCCCCTTGTTTCATGTCATGCAATAACTAGGACATAATGTGCTTGTAGTGGGTCATTCACTAAAACGGTTGGTTAATAACCTACTGATGTTAATAGGGATTTTGAAGTATTAATATCTCACTTCACATTCTGCAGGTAATAGCCCTCAGCGAGAAAAACTCTTTCCTTTTCCCAGTGGCTCAAAGCAAGACAAACATGTGCTGCACTCACAGTCAGAGAGTGGCTCTCCGGTTTTATGGAGAGCTGTATTTCACTCAGGTCACCTCATTGTAGTTTTTCCCTGCTCCTCAAAAAAGGGAGGGGACAGGGTTTTGGAAGAACTGCTTTATTTCTTTCATACTATTGGTCTGTCATGCCACAAATAACGCTAATAACAATGATGGATCAGTCTGAAATCTTCCAATACATTTCTACCAATCATGTTGGATAGATCTCTTTAGTATAGGAGACAACATTTTATAATCTCTATGCAGTTGACATCCCATCACTATGAATGTGCCAGACGCCCCCAGGTCCATCATGTGTATGTGTAAACAAATATAAAATGTGGTACAAGAGACAAACAATAAAAGATGTTCAGCTGAAAAGGATTTGGTTCCAACTTGTCAACAGTGTGATTCCAGACTCACATCTCCGTTTGGTAGCACTGAGTCCTGGCTGTGTGATGACGATGTGGGGTAGGAGTAGGTGGGCTGAGCTGTCAGAGGTTTGATGGTGATGAGGCGAAGAGAGCTGGAATGGTCCTCATATAAGTCTGAAATAAAAGGAACAATGTTTTTAGTCACATCTGATTGGTGAGCTGAAGAACTTAATTTAATTTTTAATCACATACGACATGCCCTCGACTATTTCCCACAGAAGGAAGAAGCAATTTACTTTATTCTCCTATAATCTCTAAACAATCCATCATTCCACGGCTGCCATTTTGTATAATTTTTGCAAAGTGAGTTCCGCGTTCTCAGTTCTGCAAGCTGTTGGACCGGTCGTTTATTGACGGGAGTACGAGGAACCAATATGCCCGGTCCCAGACGCTGTGTCAGAATGTACTGAGGAAAACCATGGTACATGTGGTCCATAACAATCAATAACAACAATACATGTACAATTGTTTATGACATCTGCAAAACTCTGAGCCGTTTCCTTTTTGTTACCATACCAAGCCAAGATACAACTAAATTACAGCTGTTAAGAGATTCATAGAAACTAATACAGTACTTGCTGGACTATTAAGTGCAACTGTCTCTGGTAAATTCTATCTGTTTTGACAATAATCATCCCATCCCTGCTGAAACTGGGGATGAATCAGAATGATAAGTCCGTTAACTCGGAATGTGTGCTTCGTCATCAACTCTGGAGACCAACAGCTGCTAACGGATTTTGGACACGGCTTTAAATACATAAGATTAAATAAATTGAGGTCAATCATCGCTATAGGCCACAGGGTTCAGAATAGTCTGGCCATTTCAGTCATTTACATACTGTAAGTCATTGTCATTTCATTTAGTAACCGAATACTCATTGACTGGTCTGTACATAGGCTCAAAAACATGCCATGACCTGAAAAAGTAGTTTTTATGTTGCATATGGTTGCATACAGTTTCTGAAAATGTGTAAAGTGTGTTTTTTAAGCATTATAGAGTCCATTAGAAGGCTTCATTATAGTTCTAAACTTCTTGTTGATGGCAAAATCCGACAGTACTTCTGAGATTTATGAAGTCTTAAAGGACTATTAAGAAACGATCCTGACAAACGAGGGGTCACACCACATCCTCAGACTTGTATATAGGATCTTTCCAAATTCACAAAGTCAATAACTGGATCTTGTTTTGATAAGAATAGCCTTAGATATGTGGTGTTGGTGTGCAGAAGTCTCTGTGGTGCAGGGAGCAGCAGATGGAGCGTGTTGTCTTGTCCTGGCTCTTACTCACTGCCTCACTGACTTCATATGGACAGTGCTTTATTGTGGAGCCACAGCAGTTTGTCATTAGCCTCCTAGTCCCTGTTCGCCTCCATTGGCCACTTTTAGACGCGTTTCTTGTAATCCCTGGCGTAACAGCCGCGGTCAGAGGGTGAGAAAGTCGATTGGAAAACACATAGTGATTCATAGACACAGATCCAGGCGCTCTTCGCTCGTTGTTACTGCCATGTCATCTTTTCTTTGAAATAGATAGCTCCATTTAAATTCACACCAGGTATTTGTTTACACCTTTACAATCATTTGTCTCACCAAAACACAGCTCTTTCTCACATTTCTTGCGTATTCGTCTCGATATACATGTTAATCTCCTTCATTTTCTTGAACATGGCACCGGTCTAATCTTCCTCGCCTTGGCCGTCTCAAGCGTGGAAAGAAAAGCAATTACTTGTTTGTTTTTGTAGGTATTCAATCATTTGCTCGCCTTAACACAACAGATCACCAGAGTACAGTGGTTTGGCAATGAAAAACGTATTTTTTATCAGCGGTGGCAGCTTTATCACATCTCAGGGCCATGTCTGCACAGTGATCAGTGGAAGTCAGTGTTACACATATTAGATTTGCCACAAGCACCACACACAGATAAATCTAATTCATTAATATACAGTTGTGCTGTGGCGGAGTCGTTAGCACTCTCACTTCTGGAAGGTCCCTGGATTTGATTCCACCTCCAGACAGGGCCTTTCTGAGTGGAGTGATGTTCTCCCCATGACAGCGTATTGTACTAAAAACATGTGCACTCGCTCTCCTCTCTCTGGGACTCAAAGAGATTTTATCTGGTTAAATAAAGGTCAATAAAATCAGTCATGTTCAGAATGCAGCAATGACGATGATAATAGTGATAGCGATGATGATGTGTATATATATAAACCCCTTTTTTTTATTTTTTTAGTAAAATATCTAGACTCATTTGACCACATTCGACATAGCACCTATGCACCCCTGCATTGCATACACATTCACATACATATACAGAAACTCCGCAAACCAAGGCAGAACTGAAACAATAAAAAACGCAACCCGAATAATTTTATTTTATTTTTTTTACTCTCCCCCTCCCCGCCAACCCCTCCCACCTTAACACCTACTGTATTTGTAAACCGTATATATTAGATTTCGAATATAATTTTGTTTTATTTCTTTCTTTTATGTTTTCATTCTTGTAATTGTATTAAAATGTAATAAAGTTAATTATTTAAAAAAAAAAAAAGAATGCAGCAGTTGTCTTGCGCTAAAGGTTCTCTGTACAAAGTCTGTGAGGAATATTTGTTTTGTTGTGCAGATTTTGAAATAAATAATTCAATCAATCAATACCATCAAGGTTTTATCCCCTGTAGTTTTGTTAAATCTCGCTGCATGACTGATCTTTCATTCCCTCCAATGCTCATGTAGTTTTGTGCATTGGGCTTTTGTAAGCGCAAAGTCTGGAAATGTAATTTTTTTTTTCAATATTCATTGATTGGCTATTGCTTGCTTGCAACTGACGTCACGTCCGCCTCAATACATATGCGTATCACGAAGTGGAGGTCAGCCGAGCTAGTTGTTCACTAGAGCAGCGTGTTGAATATGCCTTTTGCGTTTGTTGTTTTAGTTTGTTCTAAGCGATCGAATCGTGAAACCGATAAGGAATACTTTAGGGTTCCTTGTGAATGGATGAATAAAGAGCTAAGGACTTTACAAAAAGACGCAGGAAAAGTGGCTCTCTAACATTTCACTAGCTAACGCTTTTACATCGAAGGAAGATTTATTTACCCAGCCATGCAGTCACAATGCGCAGTTATTACATCCCCATCTTTTTTTTGGATTAACTTTCAGGTATGAGTTGGCGTTTTAGATAAACACTGTGAATGTTTGACATGAAAATACACAGCACACAGACGCATTGTTTTGTTGAAAATGACAAGTTCATACCAATCGTTACGATGCAGCATTTGCACCTTAACTCTGAGTTCCTTAACCCACCCACAGACGAAAACGTTTTAGGCATCCATGCTTTTGTTTAGCAGTGCAAAAGCTTGATTGTAACACTAGATTGTTTGAGATATCCAGGAACTGAACTGGCAGGTTTTTTTCTAACTCGCAAATCAAATTATTCTTGGATAACGCAGTAGGATCATGGATCTATTATAATAACTGGATAGGGTATTACTAGCTTGGAGCTGAAGAACCCATGTGCTCGTGGGATTCTCGCGGTACTGCAGACTAGACCAGACTAAATTCACATGGGCTACCCAGAAATCTACAGCTTTCATAAAGATCGGATTTTGTGGGGATTTTAGTGTCCCTTGTCATCCTGAACTTTTCTTCTTCTTAAATTTTAAACTTTTCTTTAAATCTACATTTTAGCGCCACAAACTCTGCCCGTCTGGCTCCCGCTCTCACTCCCGCTCTGATCAGCAGTTCTGATTGGTCAGAGCGCGGCCGAGCCCCTCTGCGCGTGCATGACAGCCACACACGCGTATTTGGTGCAACGCATCTGTTACAGCCCGGCTCTGTGGCTGCAACAAAGAATAAGGGGGAACGACACTAGGACCAGTTTTAAAGCCATGTTTGGCATTTTATTGATAAAGAATAATAATAGTATATTTCTGCGATCAGGGTAAGTGTAATGTGAGTGGCTGCGTGCAATGCAAGTATCGTCAGCAGGATAACCTTATGTGTAGATAGGAGTGTTGGATGAGAATGTGTTACTGTTGGCATGTTCTGTAAGTGAGAGGTGGGCTGAGGTGCGTGTGGTGCGAATGATAGTCAGTATGATAACCTTTGTGTAAATGTACGTGTTGAGTGCAGTGCGTGTAAGTCAAATCATAAGACGAACGAGCGGCGTGGCCTGACACGTCTGTCCCAGGACGTGGCCGGGACCAGAGTGTCAGAGGGCTGGAGGGAGAGAGAGAGCGGGCCATCAGGACACCTGCTGCTTTTGAGCGCACCGCCAGCCAATCAGGGCAGAGCTGAAAGAAAGTCAGGTTAGAAGGGGAGAAGGCGTACGCCCGGGCGCGTAACACCCCCACCCCCAAGAGGTGACCGGCGGGGAAGAACCGCTGGTCAGCAAGAGGAGGCGCGTGACAAGGCGTCAGCAAGGATATTGTCCTTGCCAGCGACGTGCTTGATGGACAGGTTGAAGTCTTGAAGAAACACAGACCATCGCATCAGACGCTGGTTTGCATTCCTCATCTGATGTATGAAGACGAGAGGATTATGGTCCGTGTAGACCACCACTGGACAGCTGGAGGAGCCCACATAGACCTCAAAATGTTTCAACGCCATGATTAACGCCAATGTCTCTTTCTCAATTGTGGAATAGGCATACTGGTGCTTTAGGAATTTCTTGGAAAAGTAGCACACAGGATGCTCTACCTCATCCGGGCCATCCTGAAGTAAGACCGCGCCCACTCCTGCATCACTGGCGTCAACAGCTAGCTTGAATGGACGGTCATAGTCAGGAGCAGCCAGAACGGGAGCTCTCATAAGCAACAACTTAACCGACTCAAAGGAGTGTTGACACTCAGGCGACCATTTAAAACCCGATTTGGGACTTAATAAGCTTGTGAGTGGTGCGGCCACTGTGGAAAAGTTTTTGCAAAAACTGCGGTAATAACCCGCCATCCCAAGAGAACGCTGGAGCTCACGCCGCGTTGATGGCACAGGGAAGGAGGAAACCGCTTCTATCTTAGCGTCCACTGGCTTTACTGCACCACCACCCACTATTTTCCCCAAATAGACTACAGTCGCTTTCGCAAATTCACATTTGGCAAGATTGATGGTCAGATTAGCTCTGTTTAAACGCATAAAAGTGTCTTTAAGCTGACAGAGGTGCTCGTCCCACGTTTTCGAATGCAACACAATATCGTCCAGGTAGGCCTCGCACCCCGGCACCCCCCGCAAAACCAGGTTGACTAACCTCTGAAAAGTAGCAGGAGCATTCCGGACACCAAAAGGCATCACGGTATATTGGAGAAATGAGTCAGGCGTGACAAACGCACAGATCTCCTGGGCCCGTGGAGTCAAAGGCACCTGCCAATACCCCTTCAACAGGTCAAGTTTGGACACAAAGGTAGCCGACCCCACTCTGTCCACGCAGTCATCCATACGTGGAAGTGGATAAGAGTCTGGCTTCGTGACCTGATTCACTTTACGGAAATCCGTGCAAAAGCGATCAGACGCATCCGACTTTATGGCAAGGAGGCAGGGCGAGCTCCACGGACTGGAACTGGGCTCCGCAATACCATGTGAGGTCATGTAGTCAACCTGATTTTGGCGACGCTGACGCTTTTCCGGATTAACCCGGTAGGGATGCTGCTTAATCGGTGCGTTGTCCCCCACGTCAATATTGTGACACAACACGCGAGTACGGGACGGCACATCTGAAAACAGAGATGGATGAGATTGTATTAATGCCACTATGTCCGCACGCTGAACCTCAGGTAAATGCAAAAACTGTTGGTCTAGTGTAGCCAACCACTCAGAGTTCTGCAACCGGCCTTGAACCAAAGCAGCAGAGGGCCCCCGAAAGTCACAGTCAACTCCAGCACCGGACAGCTCCAAAGGGACACCGCAATCAGCTTCAGGACCGGACAGCAACACTGCAGAAAACACCTGCTGAGAGCTAGACAGAGGCACACCTGAGATGTTAGATTTCGGAGCGGAAAGAGCGAGGACAGCACCCAAACCAGGCCTGGCCTCGTTCTCCCGCTCATGATAAGGCTTCAACATATCCCCAGGCTTAAACTGCCGAGGCTTTGCAGACTTGTCATACCAGCTCTTCATCCTTGACTGTGCAGCAGACAGCTTCTCTTTCGCCAACTCGCATGCCCTGTAAAGCTTGTATCGGAACGAGCTTACATAATCAAGAACATTCTGAGACTTCGCCTCGTCGAGCCAGTTCTCGTGAAGAAGCTTCAAAGGGCCACGGACCTCATGTGCGAAGACCAAGTCCGCTGGACTGAATCCTGTGGATTCTTGCACCACTTCACGTACGGCGAAGAGTAACAAGTGCACTCCTTCATCCCACTCTTTCTCGAACTCAAGACAGTAAGCTCTGAGCATTGCTTTTAGGGTTTGGTGAAACCGCTCCAGAGCGCCCTGGCTCTCAGGATGATAGGCACTGGAGAAGCGATGAACAATGCCCAGCTCCTGTGTGTCTTGAGAAAAAACACGGGACATGAAATTAGTTCCTTGGTCACTTTGTATTGTTCTTGGAAGACCAAAAAGTGAGAAAAACTTAGTCAGTGCTTTTACAACGGCTCGCGCTGTAACGTTCCGCAACGGCACAGCTTCGGGGAACCTTGTTGAAACGCACATCAAAGTCAATAGAAACTGATTGGCAGTTTTAGTACGAGGTAAAGGTCCAACACAATCTATAACAACATGATCAAATGGCGCATCCACAGCTGGGATCGGATGTAAAGGATAGGGCGGGATGGGTGGGTTTGATGCACTTTGAGCTTTATTTCCTCTTTTCGCTCCTGCTTATTCACTGGTACATTATATTTGACAGCAATAGCGACCAGATCCGCCTTACGACACTGCTCAAATGCCTCCAAACTGGGCCGAGCTACAAAATCCTCCAAATCAAAATCCATTTTGTCAACCAAAATAGTAACAATGCCCAAATTATGCAAATTACGCACAGCCTGCCACTCGCAAAATAATGTAGTGTCGCCCCCAAAGACAATTTACAAAAATGTATACGAGACTGGGGCCAACAATTTAACGGGAGGCGTGAGCCAACAAGAATGTAAAGTACATACCCACAAAACACGCATGGAGAGGGAATGCTTGGTGACGGAGCAAAAACGTGATAAGTCGTTATTGCCACTATTCGAACGTGCCGTCACGGAGAGCAATTTGTCTGACGTGTCCACTGGTTATTATGTAAAAGATGACGTTCTACTGCGCAAGTGGACGCCACCTTATGCCGCATCTGAAGATGACTGGAGCGTAGTCACACAGGTGGTTGTCCCTGCGAAATTTCGTCCTGACATTTTAAATCTGGCACATGATAACTCTTTAGCCGGTCACCTGGGAGTCAGGAAAACTTATAATTGTGTCTTACGGCAGTTTTATTGGCCCGGTTTGAAGAGTGATGTGAAGGTCCATTGTAAGACTTGTCACACATGTCAAGTGACAGGAAAATCAACGCGCCCGGTGTAACGCTGAGATACACTGCCTTGAAGAGATGCACAGCCTCAGCTGTTTATCATGTAATGCAAACCTGCGCATGCGCGTCTCACGGCAGCCGAAGCATACCAAGATGGCGGACCGTGAATTGCTAAAAGTTGAAATACGAACGAATTAAGACACGAATGTCACTTTTAATGCAATTTGAGGCGAGATGTTGATGGTCCCGTTTTGTCACATGTGGGTTTTAAGAGTCAAAGTGTTGTGCAAAGTTTAGTTTAAGCAGTCAACTGCGCCTGTGAAACCACAAAGCTAATGTTTTCATAGCAGTCCGCGGCTGCTGACGTAGGCTGATGACTCGTCCTGTGGCAACTCTACACTGGTCTGTCGGGTTGATAATGGAAAATGGGGAAAAAAATCAATCTAATTAAATATTTTGTTTGAACACACTATTGTTAATCATATTAAATACAGTACGATACATGTATTGAATGAAATTTATTATTTCCATTATCAACCCGACAGACCAGTGTAAGAGTGTAGAGTGGCCACAGGACGCGTCATCAGCCTACGTCAGCAGCCGCGGACTGCTATGAAAACATTAGCTTTGTGGTTTCACAGGCGCAGTTGACTGCTTAAACTAAACTTTGCACAAAACTTTGACTCTTAAAACCCACATGTGACAAAACGGAACCATCAACATCTCGCCTCAAATTGCATTAAAAGTGACATTCGTGTCTTAATTCGTTCGTATTTCAACTTTTAAAGCAATTCACGGTCCGCCATCTTGGTTTGCTTCGGTTGCCGTGAGACGTGCATGCGCAGGTTTGCATTACATCATAAACAGCTGAGGCAGTGCATCTCTTCAAGGCAGTGTATCTCGGCGTTACACCGGCACAAAGCGCCACTGAGCACAAACCATTAATTTGAATACGGCGCCATCTTGGATCGTCGGGCCTTGATTAGGATCTATACCGTTACACAATTTGACTTTTTCGATGTATCATTCTCGAGAATTAGAATCTAAAATCTAAAAGGATCGTGTAGATAACCAAAAAATGTAGTGGAAAAATACTGCCTTGTGCATATTGTTAGAATGATGAGTAGAACTTTAACCACAGTAGCTTCAAAGTGTCATGAAATATACAAAAAAGCACAAAAATACTCGGCAGAAGAGTCACATATTCTTTGCGTATCAGCAGCAATTTTTGTTGGCCTGACCACCACTTCATTAATCAGAAGTTGATGCATCACGTGATTGCAAGCCAAGAATTAGTTCAGCTACTTATTGTCCTCAGTAATTGTAGAGCGCTTTTCATATCATGTTTTTATTTAATGTAATCAAAATATAAGCATTGCTCTCAAACACCCATGGTATTAGCATGGTAGATTACGATATTTTCTCATGAACTGACTGTCTGTAGTATTCCAATCAAAATAACTAAGAACGACTATGACGCATCCTGCACTGCAGGGCCATTAGAATAAAAGCAAACAAGAATATGTCCTTGAGGTAACATATTTTTCCCCTCTTAGATATCTGTCTGAAAAGCACACATTTCCTATGAGTCACTTCACTAATGCTCGGCCATATGCTCCTCGTCGAACAGGTGTAAATGTGTCACTGCTGTCAGAACATTCTCCTCCCACCTCCTACTATCACTCTCATCCTGCCCCACTACAAACTTGATACAATGACTCAACTCGCAAAATGGTAAATCCTGTCCTAGAAATACTAGCGAGACTATAACTGTTCAGATTACAAACTCGTTTGGAACCTGGTGGCTATTGTCAAAACGACAAACTCAAGTTGACAGTACAAAACATGAGTTATTATTCAGTTTGAGAAACACAGATCATGGGAATGAAGAGGAGGACGTGTTGTTATCGGTTGAAAACATGAACCTTTAGGTTACAAATATTGGTGGGATCTTTTTGTCTGTTTTAACAATTCTGTTTTAAAGTGTACCAGTGTTGTCCTGCTTCACTGTGTTTTGTCCTGATGACCGCTCAGTCCAGCTCTGTGCTCACCGCTCCTCTTGTGCAGCTCCTCCTTGCCGCTCTTGCTGATGCTGCCGCTGGTCGTCCTGCGGGTGGAGGAGCTCTTCCCGGTGTTCAGTTTCCCGGAGCCGTTACTGGAGACGGAGCCGTCCTCTTCGCTCGGCAACCGCCTGTAGTAGTCATAGCAACAGAGACAGAGGGAAAAAGAGGACAGGAGCGGGGTTGAGAGTCTGGGCATGTACACAAATGCACAACACTCTGGCACCAACACATCATTATGCTGAATTATTATAATCCTTCAAAGTGCCCATAACACTGGTACAATAGCCTTTTCAATATAAAATCTGTACGCCAACAGAACAAAGGTGTGCCACAACCAAATGAAAGTGCAAGTGATGCATTTTCTTTTAGATGTGTGCCTATTACATCCCTCTCAATCTGCAGACCGGCTAGATCAAAGTCAGGCTGCAGAAATTACTTAAAGGAGCCATATTCTGCTAAATCCACTTTTTTGAGCTTTAACCATATTCAAATCTCAACATTGTTCCCTCATCACAGGCCTGGTGTGGTTTTACAAATATATAAGCTACTATAATGGTACCACTATGACATCACGCTCAATAGCTAAATATGACTTCAGCTGAATAGCTAAATCCATCTCTATATTTTCTACTAAAATTATCCTTTTTTATGTAGAAAAATAATGCATGGTATTTCTTCTTTAGACACAAGCAAACATGGCTCTAATTGCTTTGAGAGGCCAAATGTGAAATGTTTTTGGTCGATGGGTTGATCTAATGAAATGGCAGATGCATTTTGTGAGTCCTGTGGGTCTGATAACTACAATTGTCCTTGTTTAACCAAGCATTTCCTTTTTGTGTCTTTGGTTCACATGTACTCTGGACATTTACAGAACGGCCACTCTCCGAAACCATGAATCTAGTTGTGGACAAACAAAGCCTGTGGGCATGTAAGCTACAGCAGTGGCACAAAACGACAGCCTCAACAGGTAGCAGCAGCAGCAGCTCTGACAGAGGAGCAGACAGAGGAAGTGTGTGTGCAGAGAGAGAAAAGGCCATGGGGTATTTCACACACAAGGGCCCAAGAGCAGCAGTCAAGGTCCGGCCATGACACTGTCAAGTCCTCTCCAGCCGGGCAATGAACCAGAACTACTGTATGTGACTCATGAGTTTGGGAAACTCCACTCTTTCTTCGAGTCACGAGTTTATGCAGAGGCAGGAAACTTTCATAATTATCCATCAATATACAAAACTACTGTATAAAACTTTTAGTACTTTATTCATTGGTATTGGCTTCACTTTTTTCATTCACTGAAAAATCCTGACTTGCTGAAGCAAATTATTATCACACTTATCAAGCAAATCCGAAATTTCCAGCACACCTCTGCTGTATATGTGCAGAGAATGTGAATGTTTGTCTGTCATTAACATTCAGGCGGCACCGTTCGGAGGCTCCACATATGAGTGAATAATGTGCTGGAATAATTGCAGTGGTTCTGAAAGCTGTTCCACTTGTTACATGTTGAAAACAAACAAGTGCTTTTAAATGGGGCACAAATGATTACATTGTGTTGAGCTTAAGTTCAGTCTTTGCCATTTGAGAGACAACAGCACAAGTTTTTTGACCTAAACATTAATGTCAGGCTGATATTTTTCAAAGTTGTTCATTCTTTCAGTTAACTTTTTATAGGAACCGCAGCAGGGATAAAAGAGAACAATCTTCCATAATAGATTTTGTATTTATTTATATTGAAAACTATTTAGTTCTCAATTTATTAATAATAATAATAATTTAGACAAATGTGGTTGGCTCATATTTATAACACAAAATTTGATTTTTATTTTGGAATTAATTTTTGAAAATACAAATTGTGTAATTGCCGAAAATGTTTATGCATATCCTGGTTCGTCACATCAAACCATGGCATTAGAACCTAAGCGTCACCCATCACAGCAGCTTTTAAATGTGAGATCAGTGCTGCTCCCTGCAGCAAAGTTTCATCCAGCCAACCTTCTAAATATACATGTGTTTATCATCCACAAGCTGAGCGGGACTAATCCTGCCCCCATTCATGTCCGTTATAGAGCTGTAAATACAGCCCTTTGTTGTCAGTGTCAATATTTGCATTTTGTGAGAGGAGGAATTGCATGAAACCAAATTCTCTTCTGGAAACATGTCACTTGGAGAAGAGCCAAGTCTCAGATTCAGATTGTCTGTGTCTTTCATTATTTGTCATGACTCCATGTGTTATATCGGAGATGGTAAATTCAGTTCACATTCAACATCCACTTTTATTTATAGCATCCCATTGTTTGAACTTGAATGAATTAATAAATACTAGACTTAAGCTAATTGTTTGACTGTTGACTATTACAGGCAGCTGTTGGTGTAATTCTCCGGTGTTTTGTACAAAACTGAAAACAACACATAAAAGATCATGTTATATTTGTGCTCTGTCTGTTTGCACATAGTCATGATATCAATCTGGTCATTATTCATGCACCAATCACACAGTGTTGTGTCTCAGTTTGTCTCCAGTGTGAGACAAAGGCCAGAAACACAATCGTAATATCACAGTGGGTTTGTCACTGTCTCACAACAAAATAGCAGCAATTAAATAGTTCATTAAGCCATAATTATGTTAAGCCTCCCGTTGAAAATGTGTGCTGTTAATTATCTATTTTCTAATTGAGACAAAGCACCTGTGATCCCAAAAGCACACAGAATCCACACTTCAGCTGGGTGTATTTTCTTGTTTCTGTCTTAACATAGACTTACGAAGATGCTCGACAGAATGGTGTGATGTTTCCGCTCGACCTCAGAGCCTTTCCCAGACTTATTTATGTGGCACTCACTCCTTGTGATCACAGGACTTAGTTCAGATCACACCCTTCTGTCTGAGTGTGCACTGTTTGCACTGGGCTTCTGAGGCTTAAACACAAACTCATGTCAGGCTGTAAAGCTCAGGTTTATGTTGCTCACGAAAACAGTTGCCTCAGAAGTTTGTGGATTAAACTCTTAGCAGAATACATTCTGTTCACTGGTTAATATGTTAAATGTTATGTTATGTTTAATAGTCAAATCTATTTGAACACAACGAAACGCACGGCTCAACATTTGGAGATGATATTTCCAAATGTTTGACATACATTCTAGTTCATACAATGACCTGTCATGAAAATCACCATCATCATCATCGCTCTGAGGTCAAGCGGAAACATCACACCTTGCTGCCGAGCATTTCTGTATCATCAATGTTCTATACTAGAATTTGAATTATTTTTCAATTGTATTTAATGTATTTAATGAGTTTCTCACCTGATCATCGCACCACAATGAGTGGAGACATAGAGCACCTGCGGTGGATCCTCAGCCTGCTTCCACCAGTCAATACATACACACTCCCACCTTCCCAGTTTAACTGGTACCAGGTACTTTTTAGTGCTTGGCCCAGGTTCTATCCAGGCCAAACTGCTCTGAACAAAAGTGTTCTAACAGACAGATATTGACTGAGAGCTGGCCAATGCCATGGTTCCCACAGCATTTTACCATAAACTGGTTTGTTTGTGAGTAGGTAGCTGGGATACGGTACCAGATACTAAAGCGCAATGGAAACAGAACCAGTTAAGAGTAGAGCTGAGTAGCGCAAGGCCAAACGGGGCCTAACGTCATGGACAGAGCTTTTAAAAACATCATAGTAACATCATAGCACAGTCAAATTAATACAATTCGTCTCCAATATGTGACACACTAAATAATTTGAAGTTTTGTAATAGATCAAAATTGCAACACTGGAGCTGTTTCAAATGTTTGACTTTCTAACCTGCTATTGGTTCATCAATAACTCCTATGAGACGACTGTAGGTGGATTGATTCATAATTTGTCAGTATGCATTGAACAAAGAAAAAACGAGCTAGTCATTTACATACCCTCCTTTTATGTCTGTAGACGGGGGTCTCTTGCTGCCGGTCCCGTCCTGGACCTTCTTGTCCAGAGACATGGACAGGGGGGCGTCTCTCACGGGGAGACTCAGCACCTGTGTCTCTTTGGTCCCTGAAGCTGCATCATCCTTGCGGCCCATGTGCTTCTTGGCATAGTCGAATCCCTGGACAGGCTGTGGGAAAAGAACCATTTTTGATTACTTTAACTGTTAATTAAAGCTTGGGTGCCTAACCCTCTCCATAAATAACACACACAAGAGTCACAAACAAGCAGAATGTTGTGAACAAATCTTACCACAACAATGAATTAGAAAACTTGTAGGAAATGGCATAATTGAAGGAAAGAGCCCTGTGGGATGAGAGCTGATGCCTGAGTGAGGTCAGTCCTCTATATAATTCACATTTATTCCTCAAAAGCTGATCCAAAGATGTGACCAAAAATATATGAAAGTTAAAACTAGTGATTGAACCCAACCTTTTAGTCAATTTTTTTTGTTTCTGTTTTCTGTTTTGTATGGCTTGAAAGGTAAGCATCCGAGCTATTGTTAGTACTGTAGGAAGACTCATCACTGACCAAAAAAGGCCAAATTAAATCTTCTAAAATTCAGTGTGTTCAATGGATTACGCAAAGAACGAAGCCTAGACACATTTCCTGGCATCAAAATCTACACTCACCACAGTAAAACCTGCTTTTACCCCTCAAATATAAACTTCCATTTAGTAGTATAGTGGTCAGTAAATATTTTCTTCAGCCAGGGCGCGTGCATTTAAAATATACAATATGACAGATGGAGGTAATCAGCTTCAAACTCCAAAGTGACAATTAGCAGCAGATTTTGTATGCGTTTGACTTAAGCTTGGTTAGCCCTTTGTGTGGGTAAATGCCTTTTAATTTAAGCAGCTGAGATAACTGGACTAAGATCTCACTTTAGTTACACAACAGCGTGACCCAAACCCTGATTCCTTCCTGCCCCCTTTTTTCTATTTTGGGCCCACACTAAAATGGAAGCCTAATGCGTTAGATGATGCGCACAGAATTGGCAGTGCATGTGAGGTTAGGCAACATCTGAAGAGCATGCCACATAATCAATGTTAATAATTCATTAAAAACAATCAAGATTTTTTCTTTTTGGAGTAGATGCTGATGTCACAAGCTACATTAGGAGACGACTCCAGGAGCAGAACGGTGGCGTGAGAGAGCGCACATGTGTGGACTGAGGTGATGTATGGTGACAGCTGCGGCTCTGCATGTGAAAGATGTATGCACGACGCCCATGGCTCTGTGCTGCTTCAGCGCGGTGACGCAAAGGCCCACAGACAAGTGTGAGATTCCAACGTAATGTGAAGAAAGAATCTACATTTAAACAGGCACAATATATAAAGAAAAAACCTTTTTTTTTTTTTTACATAGTGGCCAAGGAAAAATGTAAGCTTCTGCAACAATGAATATGTTTACAGTTATATATGAAATAGTAAAATGAAAAAACAAGAATATAAATTAAATATCCAATTTTATAGGGAATAAACTGGAAGGATTGTTAGCTTGTATTATTTTGAATTAGTTCAGTTCAGTCCAATGTTCATTTGTCTGATATCATTATCTAGGATTGGAGGAAAAGATTGTGGGACAAATGTATATTATTTATTATCCTAAACAGATATATATATATATATATATATATTGTAAAGTTGTTTTCTTATTTTGAAATGTCTGTGGGTTTAATAAAGGTTATCTTCTCTTATATAGCAAATTATATATATTTCAACATTATTTATGCTAACCTAGCAGATGCCATTTTGAGTTGAGTTGGTAATAACATTTACAGCAAAAGCTAAAATAGGACCATTTATCTGCATGCAGCATATGTTTGCACGGACATAAACCTAAAACACTGATCAATAAGGAGAGTGCGGTAACATTGTGCATTTTATTTAATCAATTCTGAAGTGAATGCACGAGGTTATGAGGCACGCAATTGTTACGTCAGCCAGTACCGTATGGCGCTCGTCCAGGGAAATGGTATAGATTCTCAGAAATGACACAAGTGACCGAGGGCAATAACCTTCAAATGCACATGTGGCCTTTCACCGTGGTGCTCTTTCCCAGCACTGTGTCCTCTCTGTTTTTCAAATCCCTCTCTCCTAATGGCCACAGAAACGTCTGCTGCTTCTGTGACAGCGCTGACTTAACAAATGACCATCTTTCATCTCCCACAAGCGCTCGCTTTAATAAAGGCTGTGATTGGACCAAGCCTCATGTGTCAGCACCAGTCTCATCTGTCACTTCCATATTATTAAGTCATTGCTCAGGTCTGTGAAAATGGGTTTTTTACAGTCTGGTATAAGTTCTAATATATATCCAATAACTTTTGTATTAGCATGTAAGTGGTCTAGACACATTTTGGGGTTTGCAATCATTGAAAAACATTGATGTTCTTCAATAGTATTTTCTTTCTATTTAAACCAAGTGCACTTCTTGATTTACTTGTGTATAACATGTGGAAGAGCTAGAAAGTGACCTGAATCACACTAACCAATATTTTATAAGAACAACTATTTTGAAACATCTTACACAGCTTCTTCCTCGTCACACTGACGTCTAATTTTAACTTGAGCAAGAGCCGCGGCTTGATGAGGTGCAGCAGATGGACACGATATGCTCGATTCCCCTGGCGGCCACATTGATTTAAATCAGATAGAGAGGGGAGGACACTGAAGAGCTTTCCAAAAGATTCTAAAATCTGTGCATTTGAAATGAGGGTTAAAGTGAGTTAGAGGTTGAAGACGTTCAATAAACCTCCCTCGGCCCAGGTGGGCTCTGATGCAGCAAAATGTAAAATTCTTCTGAATAATGTGAAGGTCTTACTTGAGCTGGTGTCCACAAAGGTGCCATCAAATGAAATATGGCCGGCTGATTGTGCAGAGTTGACACCGCAATGTGAAAAGAATTTAGCCACGTCTGTGATAATTGAGAGTAAGAAGATAGTTCCAGATGACTTGCTAGACCAGGGTTAGGGTTAAGGAGGTCTGGGACCGGGTGCTTAGGTCTATTTGGAAAAAGGATCCAGAGACCCTCCTGTATTTGGAAATAATTGCTGTAAAAGCGTGTGTTCTGACGGCGCAGGAGACCAGATTACCAGTAGCACTGACCTCAGCAGAAAGCCGTTAAAGGCCCAAACGCACACCTCATCAGGCCACAGTATCGATCTGGAAGTAGTCTCTCCAGTGATGAGCGTCGGAGTGGATTATAGGACAATGGCAGGAGCAATTACCAGAGCAACCAAAACACTACAGCTCAGAGCAATGCATAATTATAAATATTAACAAAATCCTCTTATTCACGTGTCATTTCATCACATTTACACCACAGAACTCTATTACCAGCATGTGCTATGGGATCCTTCTCTTTATCATTATTAGCTATGCAAAAACCCATTTGAATCATTTTTTTGAAGTCATTAAGATATTCTTTCAAGCCATATGTGTTTTTTGAAAGCACATATATTATTTCCACTATTTGGTTTTGACAGAAACTTATCTTTTTAGTAACATTATTTTACACACACAAATGAGGACTTTTCCACTGACCACTTTTCTTTATATCATCAATTTGTCTTGAGTAAATTTACTGTATTTCTATTACTCTGCTGTATCTTTGTGAGTCTCTGGTGAAAAAATAATTATCATTACAATTTATTGTGGCTTGTGGCTTAACCATGGAATATATGGGAAGATCTCCGGCACTCAGTATAAATGTAATATTTAGGTCAAGATGCATTATGGTATAGAGACAGATCAAAGCGAGCACACACAGATGAGCTAAAGCCTAAATCTATCGACTATCCGTCTGATGTTTGGGGAATCTAAGAACGAGGACCAAGACCGAAATGTAACTATTTTGTAATATACATTGGGAAAAAAATATTATCATGATATGAAATATACATCACAATTAAATAATATGCATTTCCCTTTCCAATCTTAAACTGTAAAAATGTGAACCACGCTACTCATTTTGGAGCGAGAACAGCCTCTGAGAGTCTTGATACTGTATTTAGAAATGACACATCAAATAAAGTATTCATAATCTAAATATCAATAGAATTGTATAGCTTTTTTTTATAGCTGGGGGAGACAGTAGCTCAGCTGGTATTGCATTGGCCTTTGGGCCTGAAGGTCATGGGTTCGAGCCCACCAAGGGACCTATTCCAACTGCGCCCACAAATGTCTACTGTCATTGTGTCCTTGGGCAAGACACTTAACCCCACGTTGCCTGAAGCCCCTGCTGAAAGAACAAGGCTGCATCAAGAAGCCATTTTCCCTTGGGCCCACCACCTGCAGAGGATCAGAGGGACTGGTGCTATGAGCATTGGGTGGCAGCTCTCATTGCCACCCCCCCGACCCAGAAATGGACTAATAAAGGCGTTGAAAATGAATGAATGAATGAATTTTATAGCTGTTCAATAAACACCCTTTTGGCGTCTGTATGGAGAATATCTGAGGAAACAAGAGTGCTCTGAACACTGGCACATCCCAGAACAGCAGGCCACACGCTTCAGATGCTTTCACAACATAAATACATACTTAATGGTTTTGGATGTTCACTTTTGATATATTGGAGATATTTGATTCCATAGTAAATCATAACCAAAGAAGCTGTGGAATTTCAATGAAAACAGAAGTACGACAAAGGAGCAGGCAGTTTCAAGGTCTGTGCTGATGACAGTCTCCTGAATCATGCTGCAAGGAATATAAATAGATGACTGTGGTTCACAGCCTTTGTTGTTTTCTACCTTTTGAAGAAATGCTGCCCTCACTTTCCTATTTTCTGAGATGGAACCATTAACGCTGAAACAGCAACAATATTCACAGAATGTAGATTTACACTATTCCAGGAGATCCAGGATGAGTGAAATCCCAAACATAAACACTGAATGTATGAGAAGCTAAGCAATTACAAAGACTCAGAAATAAAGCATTATGTAATATTTCATGCACGCATCTATAACACTTGAGGGTAGAGACGGAAGGTACCTGGTGGTGGTAACTGCTTTCTCTGCGGTATGAGGTCTAAACAAAGAGAGGCACAAAGGGGAAGGTCAACCATAATGATAATAATCTTTTGATAATGCAAACTGTGAGCTTATCTAATTACTATCATCATTATAGCTCACTGATATTGACAGGGCTGTATTTGTGTACAGTATTCACTGGTACATCATGTCTAGAGTGATTGTGTCAAAGAATAAGACAAATTAAATGTTCAAAATCAGTCTAACTCCTGTACGGATGAAAATGTTCATCTTGACAATCAAAGAGCTTTCAAAAGTCACTTTCAATATGTACAGCTGTAAAGCTGCTGCTGTCTTAGTGAAACTCTGAACAGCCAGTAATCAGAAGAAGATTCATGAAAATTATGCAGGCCTCAATAATATCTTATATATACTAGAGTTGACTTGAAAAGAAGTCAAACAACTTTAAGTAAACTAGAGTCTAGACTGCTTCACTCGGGCAGTCCTGAAGTGTTCTTAATTAAGAGGGTGAGAGGAAACTCATCAGGCCCGTATGTGAGCCTGCTCCAACACACTTGGAGGTCCAGTTCAGTCACCTCTTCAATCAGACACAGACGACTCTTGAATTCATTTGACCGGAGGCGTTTGAACAGTTTACTGACCGGAAGAACACCATCACTTTGAAATGTGAAGCGACACACCTTACTATGTAAGTGCTTAAATGTTCACACTAGATTAGATCCTGTTGCCGTTTTCATTTGAAACATTAGAAGACAAAAAAGAGGGAACAACGAGAAGGTCAGGAGGCATAAGGCGTGAATTGCAGTTTCAGGCCGTTACCTTGGAGCGCGACTTGAAGCTTCTGAATGGACCGGATTTAAACATAACTCTGTTCCTCTTGCAGATGATGTAGGCGACCATTGCAATAACCACCACCAGCAAGAACAGGGGGGTGAGGACGGCCATGATCCACAGGTCACTGGGCGGCATCTTTACAACAGCTGCACAAACACACGACAATCCAGAATGTATTTTTTAATAATTCAGTATTCAATGTATTTGCACAAACCAATGTCCTCATGTCCCTTGGTCTCTGCTTTGTCTGTGTCGATAAGATTGTAGGCTCACGTGGAACATTTATACAGTATTTCTAGTATATTTTACTTTAGCTGTGTCCTCTGTGTTGGTAGACTGCAGACATTACATTTTTTTCAGAGAACAGCGTGCACACTGATAGTCTTACTATTGTGTGAGGAGGTGCAAAGGGCACTCTTGGCTTTCAGTTTCTTTCCAGCTAATTATAGATTCAGGGGGAAAAGAACAGATAAAATGGAAAGTGAGAACACAGTGTCTTGTTGCTGCGGGACACACTTTAAAGAATATTTATTTTAACTTTTATGACATTGTTGGTGGTACATGTAATTTGTTTATGAGATCAGTCTAGGGGGGATAATTTATCCATGGCTAGTGTGTGTGTGTGTGTGTGTTTGTGAGTGTGTATGTGTGATAAGTAACCCTTAACACTGGGGCAAACTGATTAACATGTGTATTGTACTCACATTTTACACATGTATTCATTCATGTGATAGCTATTTTTTTAAAAGTTATATGAATAAATTTGCTTTCAATGTAATTAAAAGACCTCCCTCACCGACGGAAGTTTCACATTATAATATGTAATTTAATCTTTGTGCAAATATTTTGTTTCAGGAGAGGTAATTCATCCTTATGCTTTTATTATGGACTTAAAATGATGCATCATACTTATATAGCGCTTTTTGGGCACTCACAGATGCTTTACAAGAGGGCATTGTTCCCTCATCAAGAAAAGAAATGGAGTCATATCTATTTCCTTCCACACTAATATGAACACTCCTGGTACCCCCCCATCTGTCAAAACGCTCCCAACTCAGTCCTGTAAAAGTATGATGTCATTGCGTCATGATGACATCTCACTCAGAGCAGTTTAAAACAAAAGTATTGTCCATGAATACTACTCCTGGTGGGAGCATAATTTATCCTGCACACTTGTTTTATTATGCTTATTTTTTAATAGTTCAATTAAATTTTAAGTATTTTATTATTAGAAGACATCATTACACCTATTTGGAAATCAGCATAATAAAGCAATACAAATAATGAATACTATTTATGCATAAGATTTCAGAGATCAAAATGAATAATGGTCCATCATAGAGACATAAACTCACGTTCCGCCTGGACTTGTACAAAGTATCCCAGTGTCAGCGCCATGGTTTGGGAGTCCAGGCTGCTCAGGGTCTTGGCCGCACTGGTCCCAGTGATGGGGGCTCCATTGTGCTGGGCGTAGTATGTCAACTCTGCTGGGTTTTTAGGACCAGGCAAACGACGGATGCTGACCATCTGCAAAGTACATGTACATGTTTTATATAATGAATGATGCCTGGATGCCTTTTTCAGTTAGTGCACAGGAAAAATTGCAATTTGAGGGGAAAATCTTTAATTTTCACTGTAGAAATCAGGCCTTTTTGATTTTCTAAATGCACTGCAGCTACTTAAACATCTGCCTTCAGTTCATGTGAAAACGCCTCATGTTTGTGGCATGTCGGTACACGAAAAGGATAAAGTCCTTTGTGTGACCTTAACCTGTGAAATCTGTGATGCATACATATGAATGACATGCTCCTGCTTGCAATATTCCACAGTGAGTTTAAGAAACACCATATGTTGGATTAAAGTGGCAGTGCAAATGTACTTAGTAATATCTAGACCTCACGCCATCAAATAAAGATATATATAATCCCATAGTGCAGCCAATCCTACCTCTAATCTCCCCCCAGCCTTGGTATAGAGCGATAACCCCGTCCTTCCAATCAAAATTCAACATCGTCTCGCTAACTTCACTTACAGGCCAGATAAGCCCACGCTGCAAAGACACTCCAGGATAACTGAGTCACTTGAAACCCCAATTTCCTTTTCATCATACATCACACACATTTCTAATATGGCTAACGCCTTTCACATTTTAATCAAGACTAGTAATTTGATTTTGCCATAAAAAGACGGGCCGTGTGTTATTATTAAATGGTCGGATGGATCTTCTCCCCCTGAGCTCCATATCCACATTCTTCCTCATTCATCACTAGTGCCATAAAAGCACTGGTCTGTGACTCCTCATCAAATATAATACTGAGGCAGTGTAATATGGACATCTGAATAAGCGTCAATTCTGTGTGTTTGGAAAAGTATGTATACAGTAAATATAATTGGAGAGAAAGTTTACAAAGAACATACCGTTGTAAAGGATTAGGTCAATTTAGTGCTCCAGGAATAAAACACACGTAGCAATTTTGAGTCCCAGACACAAGCGCGATATAATCAGGGGAGCGACTAATAGCTACACAATCTGCGGGTCTATTCAGTCAATTAATTAATAATCAGTTCAATATAATGGAAATAGCAACAGCTGCTGAAGTTAATTTCCGACTTGGGGTAACAGTGAATTTAAATGCAATCAGATGAGACAAGAAAAGCATTGAGGTAATTGGATGACATCTTTTCATCCTAATCTGATCTTTACTTGTTTGTCTGAAATTTAAAGGTGATCGTGCTGTGTTTGCTATCTGAGGGAATGATAAATATGAAAAATATAAAATCCTATGGCTCTTTTAGTAAGACTCTTTAATTCAACGGGCTTGTCTAGGGACCATTAACTCGCATCATAAACTGTGTTGACAGGATTCAGGCTGTTCTGAGCTTTATAGATACATTAGCTATGACGGAGGTGAAGTTGACTGAATGACAAATCTCATCAGCGCCTAATGATAACTAATGATCATAAATAAAAAAAATTTATTGTTGAATATATTGATAGCCATAATATATTTTCAAATAGAATGGTGATAAGATGATAGAATTTGAATAGAATAGATAGAATAGATAGAGTAGAGGTCAAATGCAGAGGACAAATTTCCCTAAGGGGACAATAAAGTATAGCTTATCTTAATAATGAAAAAAATATTGTGCTAAATAAAGAATGGTCCTCATCAATGCCTCGGCATGGGAGCTATCCATGGTGCTGATTCACAGGCAGGTTTAGAGTAGTCTCAGCGTTTATCTTTCCCATATAATATCTAAAAGAAAGTATCATGTTCCTCCAGTCGAACTTTGCTTGAATTAATAATGAGTCTCCTTTTCATTAAAAGCACGTATTGATTTGTCTGGCTTTTGCTTGTAAATCTAGTGTGTAATGTTTACTCTATAAATCCGGGTAGCGACTGGGTTTTAAGATTTTTGGAAACAATGACTCAAACCCCAGTAATAAAACAAAATTCAGCCAATAAACCAGGCCAACAAATTTAATGCGAAATCCTCTAAAGATTTCATTATTGTGCCACATAATTGTCTATCGCAAGTGGACAAAAAACCATAAACGTTTTATTGTAGCAGTCAATTTAGCAATTAGTCTCATCAGCTAGTTCTTTGAGAAACATTGTCTGGAGGTTTGCAGGGGGGAGTTTCAATCCCTTCACGTGTGTCCTGTAAATAGACAAATCCATAAAGGGGCAGAAGACAAACCTGTACGGTGTAACCCCCAACATTAGTGGCTCGACGGGAGCGGGTCGCCTGGGAGCTTTGTCTTCCGGCCACAAGGAAGAGCTCAGCCAGCCTCTGCTCCATGAGGCTGGCAAAGCTCTGGTAGTTCGCCTCCAGGGATGAGCTGTCAACATCCTGGATCACTGTGTGGAGAGAGGGAGAAAGACGTGAGGTGTGGTGCAAGCTGCAGAGGTGACGATGAGGGGGAGAGGGTCCACACGTGAGGGGACGGGAGGCCACCGCGTGAGGATGAATGAGATACAACAACAAACCACATGAGGGGCCAATCCATTTCCGCTCATCCAAGGCCGCAACAGTGCCAAATGCATCAAACACCCTCCCATTATCACCCCAGCTTTAACTTTCAAACCACCTGGCTTCACATCAGTGTCTCCCTAATTGTTTTTTTTTTTTCTTTTTTACACAATGGTATCTATCAATTTATTTCTGTTATTGATTTTACTCAATATTAATGATTAATGTTCTATAACATTTCAGGGCTCCACCTTTTATCTGTTTTACATCAAATTGAATGATAAAAAGACTCTCTTTTCTCTACTTCCTCGCTCAGTCAGCCCATGCCATGTTCTGGTGTATATGCAGTATGTGGGAAAGTACATTTCATTTTATACCGTGTTTGAAAAGAGACCACTGTAAAAAATAGACAGACGTCAGCCCTGGTCACGGCCTGCAGTGATATGATACGAAGTGATTTATCTCCGAGCCCCAGTCAGGAAGCAGTGAATTATACATCAATACTTCAGCTCTGGAACACAGCTGCTAAAGAGCACAAGTGGGGAGAGAAGGGCCGGAGCAGCGGGAAGGAGAAATTCTGCTGAGCTGCACATGCGCCAGAGCACACAGGGTTTACTAACTGCTGTTTAGTCAGATCGATGCGCTTCTTGATTAGCACTGATCACCTGCTAATGCCACACACTGTGCGAAAGCAAAAACCACTTACCTGTTATGACCCAATAACTCTTGGTCGCTGCCGATGTGTTGAGATTGTGGTATTCGAGGGCTGAGGAGAAAAAAAACACAAACGTTATAGATCCAAACAGTGTCATAATAATAATAGTGGCTTTGTCATTAGGGCAGTGCCAAAATCTCCATCTTGGTAGATTGTGATTATAGAGACCTGTGATATAGGGTTTTACAGACACCAATAATGTGGTAGTAACAGAGGAAGGGACCGAAGAAGAGACAGGAAAACAGGCGGTATGTGTTTTATCTCTACTCACTCATGTATTCTTCCTCTGTGTATTTACATTTACACATTAAAAATATTGTATTTGTCATATACCAGTTCTAAAACCAATCATGTTTTTAATTGAAAATCGAGATTGGTAAATTGAGACAGGTCAACATGGAGGGGCACCACATTTATATAGCACTTGTTTTGACACTCAAAGATTTCCAAGATTGAATGAAAGCGGCATCAGACACGCTCAGAGTTTTATACCATTTAAAACAAAGGTTTTGCTCATGAATTATTTACATTTCTTAAGGGAAATTATGTTTTTTTTTTAACAATCCCATGGCAGTAGTAGCAGCCAATAAGTTTAACACATTTTCGACTCCTCCCTTCTGTGGGAGCAAAGGGAATTATTTACTCTATTCTAAAGCATGACAAAATAAGCAGTCTCATTGTCATTTTCATGGCCAAAAATAACTACATATCTTTATATATAAATATTTGAAATGGTTGGAAAACAGACACATGTTGCTGGCAAAAAAATTTATTTCCTGGAACACAATGCAATATCTATTCTTGTCTCACAGGTCTCTTTGGGCCTCTTGTTCATCTGTCAACCTACTTCTTATTGCCTCGCCTCTCTTCTCTGAGCAGTGGGAATGTGCTTCTTGGCTTGATGCGTGTGTGTGTGTTTGTGTGTGTGTGTGTGTGTGTGTGCGTTGCCCTGTGCTGTACGTGAGAACATTATAATTCTCTGGATTCTTCCGGAACTTGAGTTTACATAAACACTGCCGAGAGCTGGGGTTAATGCTCAGACTGTGGCCTATGAAGCATCTGCTCAACAAGAGAAGATCAAGTGCCACAAAACGAAGTCAGATTTATAACCATTTGCAGAATATTATCCAAACACTGACAACAGTTTTGCAAACATAGAATATTTGATGAAGCCAAATTAAAGCAAAACAGCAGCTATTTTACATTTTTCATGAATCCGCTGTCGTTCAAAAGTTTGGAGTCGCTTGAAACTGTCCTTATTTTTCAAAGAAATGCAGTGTGAAAAGCACAATGAGGATAACACTAAGGGAATGAAAACACAGCCTAGACTTAATTAATGCTGTAAAACACTGTCCTTATGTGAAAATCCGGCTTTGTTTATATAATGTATTCACAATTTTCCCTTTTTTTCCTCTCACTGAGCACAGAGATGGAAGCAGGGTCACCGTGCACCATGGGGGGCATGCCAGATATTGTATATATTTTGTACCATGGCATGCCAGATATTGTACATACAATAGTAATAATCAGCTACCTGTAGTGGCTGATTATTGCTATTTTTAACTTTTTAGAATGACCAATTTTATTTTGTATTTTTGCTGCTACTGGACACCTGAATTTTTCCTACGAGCATCAATAAAGTATCTATCTATGTATCTATCTGTCTATATTATTAGAGATAGGGGAAACTGGTGTACCCGGAGGGAACGTACTCAGACGGGGAAAATATGCATCAAATGAAATTAAAAACAGAATAACTTGTATGACGAATACAATATTATAGTATCTTTATTATATGATTATTGCATTATCTTAATTAAAGGTATATATGAGGATTTTCTACTTCTGGGTGGATCCTCAACACTATTGGTCGTCTTAATTGTCAATAATTCTCGTGATACATGCTCGTCAAACAAGAGTTTTTTTTTCGTTTTTTTTTAACTGGAAAGGGAAAATCCTCCTATATACTTTTGAACTTGACTTCAGTTCATACTCAATGTTTCATCCTTATGTCGTCTTATTTCCTCACTATCCAACATTATAGCACCATCATCATGAAAAACACCTCTTGTGCTTTGTTTTGAGAGAACAACTGTTTTCCTCAAAGCTAGTGAAGTGTGATGTTGGAGCCCCGGGGTGTTCCAGAATGCACACAAACAGATACTCATCTAATCTCAGTGGGACTAAAATTAGCTCATTCGAGACGGGGTGGACATTGGCCCGGGGCAGGACAGGACTGCTCCAGGCGCAGATGGCTGCAGTGGATCATGTGGCTCATCTCTGAGGTCACTGGTCTTTTCACTCACTTTTGTAATGTCAAGACATCACTCAAATACTGCTGCTTAGATTAAGACGATAAAGAGCACAGATTTTTCTCTAGAAATGGTTACAAACAGGATTAGTTCATTTGGAAGCATTTGCATTTGCACTTTCTCATATATTCCCGACATTTTAACAGGGCTGTGTCATATTTTAATTGTGATAAACTAGTGTAATTTTAATAACGAGGATCATTTCTTCATTTATCTTTCATGTGCACAGCCGGTGGGTTACGTCTTAAAAGAGCAAGAGAAAAGATTAATGCTAAAGCTAACACCATGACTCGGGAGGCTCGGCAGAGAATGTATTTTAAAATATAAAATAGACTTAATGATGAAACTTAACATTTACATCGTCATGCTCTTTTGTTCTGTGTTTCATTTTATGCAGCCCATATAATGAAGTGTGTGCTTGAGATTTAAGCCCGGACAACAACATTTAATGGCAGTTACTGTCGATTCACTGTAATCATAAGTTTTCTATTTTATGTCAAGATGAAAGTTTTGACCTATATCACCATGTCCCCTTCGCATTAAATAGAAATGTTAGTGGTTTTTCATTAATTCTCAATTATTATGAAAAGATACTTTTATGCCTGATCTGGTACGAGATGTCTACACTTGATAACCTTATGATGATGAAATAGAGAGGTGTATGGTCAGTGAGTGTTTGGCCTGTGCCTGTGTGCGTGTGCGTGTGCGTGTGCGTGTGCGTGTGCGTGTGTGTGTGTGTGTGTGTGTGTGTGTTGATTTCTGAATTATCGTCCCGTTTTTGGCACCTTATGCTCTGTACATTGCTAGCTTAGATTAGCTAGAAATGTGTTATCTGAATGCTAACCAAAATGAATGTTATCTGAGCGGGCCGTGTCCCAAATGCTTCCTTAATTAATCATCAGATAATGACATCATTATCACTTGAGTTTGCCTTTTTTAATATAAAACTGGGGTACCTAACTTTCAAACAGCAAAAAATGTAATCATGTAAAATCCATGTAACTACTTCCTCGCTCTAATAAATAGTTTTCACATGCACCTATTTTGGACCTCATTCTTTAGATCAGATTTTTCAGACAGAAAAGTAAAAAAGAGAGGACCACTCATCCTCATAGGGATATTTCTAACAAATATGCAAAAGATAAAATGTGTTATAACAAAACAATGGCTGTTAATGTCTACTTTGTTCACAATATTTTACAAAACACTTTCCTAGAACAAAGAAAATGTATTATTTATGGGGAAAAATGAGGTACCCCAGTTTTAAAGTTCTATATTCTCTCTCAACAGTACCAAACCAGATCACCGCACTTGCTTTTGATTTGTGGGGCTGGCAATTTGAAGAGACTATAATTCTAGCTATTGACTGAAAATGACAATGAGTATTTCTAGTGCTGCTCTTGTAATCAAAACAGGTCAAAAGTGTCATGAATCATGCGGTGTCCTGTGGAGTCAGCAGTCAGAGCGCGGCGTCCTACATCTGTCTGAGCCAGCAGACAAACCAGAGCAAAAATAGTTATGCAATAAAACAAAATGAGAGCGAGTACTGAAGCGGCTGTCCATGGTGCTGAAGACACGGACTGGCCTCATTACCAAAGTGCATTGTACGTCTGTCTGCTGAACGCTTCAGAAGACATGCTGTTACAGTTTAAACAAATATTTTGCTTAATCTTGAACAAATACTGTCAAATTAACCCTTTAAACCAGGCTATGGACATGGACAGGATTAGTAACATTTGAAAGCACAGATCAATTTAGAGTAATTTTTATCTTTCCAAAATGTCTGTGCCACAATGTAAAAATATGGATTCGTCTGATTAAGAAAAAACAGGTAGTAAGTAAATATGTAAGCAAAGGTCAGAGGGGCCAAAGGTGCCAAAGGGAGCAATGGTGTTTTGGCTTTAGAGGAATATAATTTTAGAGTTTAAATGATCACTGCATATTTTGTTTGCTACAAAATATCAACAAATTACTAAGCAAGAAAAACTTTTGAAATCCACTGTTGTCTAAGATTTGGCCCGCTGACTTTACAAGCCCATTTGTGGGATCAACTCTATAAATTACATATTTTATTTTTTTCTCGTGTTTGAAAAGAGCCATGAGCCAAATGAGCTAAAATGTCCACAGCAGTGAAGGCAACTCATGAGGCTGCCGGCTTCTCAAACACACACACAAATGACCTCTCGGCTCAAAGCTGATTATTAATCAGATCAACGCCACAGCTGCCCCTCAGGACACATTGATGCCTCTATTATCAGGAAGATAATAATAACTGTCTATTACTTACGCTCGGCAATGATGAAGGGCGGGTAGAAGAGGAAGTAGCCCACTAACTCGGCGGTCAGCTGGTTCAAAAGTCCACTTGCGATGGTCCCATTGAGAATCAGGTCCTGGTTTTTCACATGGTAAATGAGAGAGACTGAGGGAGAGCCAGGGTCCTGCTGGACGCTGAGGATCTAGGCACGAACAAAGAAAGAAAGATAAGATAAGATACACTTTATTGATCCCACAATGGAGAAATTCACATGTCACATTTGGCATAGATAGAATCACTCAGGTTGCATAAAAAGACAGGAAGTGTGCAAACATGTTAAGGATAAAATATTGTCTGTCTTGTGCAAGATATGTTATGTACAAAAAATTTAAAGTGACCATAGCAGTGCAAGTTTTCCAATTCTATATACCTTATATAGTTATATACTGTGTTTTTCACATGAAGCATGTTATTAACACAAAAAACTGCTTTCTGGGGAAATGATAGTGATGTTTCTGTGCTGTTTGTTTCAAGTAAAACACAATGTACAAATATTCATACTTTATAAAGTCATTATAAGTATAAATAGCAACTTTGAGAAGATGACAGTTATGATTATCCCTAAACAAATTGATGCACAATTTGACACTAACTGCTTTATTGCCACAAATTTGTAAGAGATGTAAGGAGGATGGACACTTCTGGAGCTGCCGGAATAAACATCTCATTTGACGTCATCTGTTGAGAACAATGAGAAACAGCAACACCATCTGTTTGAGATGAAACGATCATCTTGAATGGCTTTATGTAATAGATTTGTCAGAAAGGTGGTTCATTGCAGTAAAGGAATGAGAAATAGCTTAATTCAATATAGAATAGTACAGTAGTAAGACATGAATAGGGGACGGTTGCACTGGGTTGCATCACATGTGCAGTATAGAAATACAGAGGGATTTCAGTCCAGCTTCAAAATCAGTTTTTTATATACATTTACTTTGATGTTTCACTTTGTTTTTATCACACCAGCAGTATTTAGGAACATTCTACCATGTTTTTTTTTTCTGAAAATAAACAGAACTTGTAATTTATTGCCAAGGGCGAAGTTGACATCGATCTTGACTTCATCTTTTTGCCCGACCAGAAATCACAAGAGGAATAAACCGATAAAATCATACCCAAGAGGAAGGCATTTGCAAACTGCAGACTCAATATGACAGCTTCAATGGACAACATTTTTATGCTTTAAAAAGGGCAGTGTGCATCAAACTAATACCAACAAATCACCATAATGTGTGGATGAAACAAGATATGGGACATTTGTATCGCACAGCTCATGAGAGTAAATATTTCAGTGGCTGAATTATGAATGTGCCCTATATCAGCTCTAAGCCAAAACCTACTTAATTATGAGGATGATGGGCCTCTGTGTGTCAATCGTGGTACAACATTATGACGTGGAAATGTCAGACTTGCTAAAAAAGTCACTTAAAGAAATTTTGTAGAAGAACTCGTGTAATCTATCTGAAAGTCTGCAGTTTGGAGGCTGCAGAAAGGAGTGGACAGAGAGTCCCAGCCATAGAGTACTGGAAGAAGCTCCATGGGCTCACTGCAACCTCACAGTGACCAAAGAGCCAATCAGGAAAAAGGTTAGTTGATAAGGCTAAATATGTCAATAAAATGAATGAGTTTTTTCATTATTATTACACCATCCATCCATTTTTTTCTCCTTAATCAATTTCTGGATCGGGGGAGTTTTTTGATTATTATTGAACAATATCAAAATAAGGGTTGCATTTGGTGTTGAAACTAGGACATTTTCAGCTGAGGATGGTGTGTAATCAAATGTTTTTAGAGCAGGCAAGTCCCAATCAAACAGTTAAAATACACTGTAATTTGCTGATTGCCTTTTTATACCACGAGCGCAATAAAAACTACTTTTAAAAAAAGCAATAGACTTAAATATGTTAAAGAGACAGCTTTGTTGCGGCTGTCTATAGGTTTAAAACTTCTTTGTTGAATAAAAAAAGATTCCCTGTACTCGCTGCATTTGAGATGCTACAACACGACCTGGACTGGATTGTGTAGCAGTAGACTTCAGCAGAAGTTCAGGCCCATTAGTCACATTATCATGTACATGTAAATATGACACACTTGGCTGTCTGCATAACAAACTAAATATAGTTCATGTGACAACTAGCGTGCGACCTACCTCCACACTCAGCCTGTTGTATGTCTCCAACACTTTGTCCTGAGCCTCCTCAAATGCATTTTCCAGCCTTCGCTCCAGTGTTTGAATAAAACTGCAGGAATAGATGTGGTCTGTTGGGCCGACAAACCTCAAAACTGTAGAGAATGAAAGAAAATTGGTGAATGTCAGATTGTTTATTGATTTTTGCCAGTAAGATGACAAAGACATAGAGGACCCAAACCTAACAGTGACCAGAATCCAAATAAGACAAACACATTCAACAATAAATCACACTTAAATATAAAGTGCAGATGTTTGAATGCATTTCCTTTTCATTTAGTTTTACACAGGGTTTTGGTTCATTTGGCAGCCTCATAAAAAAAAAAATTCAGAACACTATTTTCTTATAATCGTATTGTTTCGAAAAGTGTTATTGACAGAAAGATTGGGCCAGGCCAAAAAATGTTTTATAAATCAATGGCTCAATCTTTAGTGGTATAGCTGATCTAAAAAGGTGCCTTGAAACTTCTTAGGCAATGGCCAGAGGAGGTCATAGGGTAAAAGTAGTTCAAAGACTAAGAAAGGCCCAAGACCAGACCATTAAGACGTCTGAAAACCAGTAAACCAGTTGTGTTTTGGTCTTAATTTGAAAGACAAGAGATTGCAGCTAATGATACATTTGCACTGCACTACTGGGAATTCTATTCTTATTGCTGTAACAAATGTGTGGAACTGTCAAAAAGTAGAAGCAAAAGTTTCACTGAACTCGGGTTGCTTCTGGAAACTGGGCTGCTGTTATTCATTAAAGTAGAACCTCATTGTGTGTGGGAGAGAAAGCAATAAACCTAAGTAGTGAAAGAGGATTATACCCGGTGAGAACAACCAAAAGAGTCCTGTTTCAGCGGCACTGCAGAGGATCAGAGTAAACAATATTGAGTACAGATTATAGAGAATGTTATTAAATGATTGTGCACCGTCACTCTCCTGTCTGGCTTTAAGCTCATCTTAAACCTCCAAACGTCAGCGACTGAAAAGATAGACTCGGGAGATGAAAATGAAAAGCTGCTTCATAAGAAACCTCTGTATCCTCATGGTCTTTAGTCCCGACAGTCGTCTCTTCACACTGTATGAGTCTGAACTGCAGCGAGGACTGTGTAAGTAAGTAAGTAAGTAAGTTTTTATTTATATACCGCCTTTTTCACTGCAGATCTGAGTCTCAAAGCGGTTTACAATTGTTAATTTTTGGGCATTAGTCTGTCACTCCACACAGAGATGGGAGCGGGGTCGCCAGTACAGGAAGCGCATGCCAGAACTATTGGACATATTTTTAGTGGTAGGGGAAACCGGAGTACCCGGAGGAAACCTACGCAGACACGGGGAGAACATGCAAACTCCACTCAGAAAGGCCCTGGTCCGGCCGGGATTCGAACCCAGGACCTTCTTGCTGAGAGGCGAGAGTGCTATCCACTCAGCCACCGTGCCGCACGGCTATTTGTGACTGGAGCCTGTTATGGATTTGTGTTCAGACATTTAAGTGGCCACTTTGTACACTGCTGCATAATAACAACTGTGCTCATCAAAAACATGTCAGTTATGTAATTACAGGCACTTCGTCTGTCAATAGAAATTGTGAACACAAAGAAAACAGCAATTATTTGTGCAAATTGAGTCTCAAGAACTGCAGCTATTATTGCATTTTTGTTTGTAAGAAGCAATGTGAAACACGAAGCTCAGCAATGTACACATACAATATAAATTACTGTCAGCCTCAAAAGAGCTACAATCAATCTGTTTTTATGAGTGGGTGTATTCTACTGTTTTGCTGTAGACACTGTCGCTGCTCATCTGTCACACCTACAATAATTATTTGCAGATTTGGCTGTGAAGGTTTTAGGCCATAAACTATTTATCACAATTTTTAAATCACAGACTAGATACAGTATGTCAAAACTGCAGGACAGAGTCGTAAACATTTCTGGGAAGTCACTTGGCGGTGATGAGACAGTATGAGCAGCTTATACCACATTTGTTAATGAAAATCAGAATGTATCAGTCCAAAAGCAATGACCTGAATTTAACATTAGCTATACAAAATAAGCCTGTCAATTTCCTTCCCTTTGTTCCCACAGGGCTCTGTTTAGGAGTGTGTGCACAGGGTTTTTAAGAAGCTTAAAAAGCTGACACAACAAATAGACCAATCTGCTTGAGCTCTGCAGTGATGGAGTTTTGTATGGGATTTAGGGTATCAAAGAGGAGCAGAGGGGAAAAGACATGTAATCAGAACGTTCTAATTTAGGCCGTGCTCCGCTCGCCCCCAGAGTATCCAGCTCAACACTTCCTATCTCTCGCCCTCATCGACTCTTTTCAAGCCGTGATGAGTGTAACTACAGCATGAAGAAAACTGACAATGATTAATGTGTATATTTATAAAGAGATTAGAAGGGGTTTGTCCTTTGACACATGCCAAGGTCGGCAGTTCAAATACCAAATGAAATACAAATGAATGTACAGACAGTCATGATGCATGGGATCCAAATGATTCATTGCATTGTAACAAAATAATTATAATCATGGTGGTTATACAAAAGTGACCTTATTAATGTTGGCCTGATGAGATAAATCAACATGAGGAAAAGCCATTAGACAAACAGCCCGTGCAGAGGCCACACACTCACCTGTTTTGAGCTGCAGATGAATGCTCGGACTGGGCATCAACGCGGCCACAGGGACCAACACGGCTTTGACCTGAGGCGCGTGCTGCCGTATTTCTGACAACAACTTGTCAAAGCCGTAGACGTTCAGTGCTTCCACCACCACAGAAGCGATGTACACAGTTTTACCACTGGTCACGTAGTAAACCAAGGTCACATTATGGGGCCCGCAGTCGTCACGCTCCACCTGAGAATCACACATGTGGGAGATGTCGCTGTTAATGATTGTCGTTTCATTATTTGATTCTGTGGTTGTTGATGATGAAAAGATGATCTGTGGTGAGAGGGTACATCAAACCTCTTTTACCAGCAGACAATGTGAGATGATTTTAGAAGAAGTAGAAGAAGAAAATATACTTAATTGATCTCACAATGGAGAAATTCGGTTCAATGAATAGTCATAAACACATCAAGGCATGCAGCGTGCTCCTTATAGGTAAAGTGGGGTAAAGTGTCATGCCCCAGGACACAACGTCAGCAGACAGCAGTGGGAGTGGGTAGAGAAGGTCTTACGTTGGGCTCCAACTCACGACCTTCAGATTGTTTAGAACTAAAATTCTTAATATACACAATTTAGTTGTTTTTTTGTCTCATTGTACAATGTATACGATCTTTGAAAACATGCGACCTGAGAAACCTACAAAAACAATAGACTTGGAATTACTGAATGCAAAATCAATATGAGAGGGAAGAGCTATGGGAAAACTTATAAAACAAACATTGATATTTATTTTTTTCTATCTCTTCTTGCAATTTAAATGTGTACAGAATGCAGATGAGCTACCAGCTTTGAATATTTATCATGTTTAAACAGACTGGTTAATCCTGAGACTTGCTGTTTCTTACTTGAGGGGATGTTTTTACAGTCAATGCAAGCCACCCTCATAAATCCGAATAATTCTGTCCTGGAAAAAACAACATCCAGACAAGGATCAGCAATGAGGCGAGGTCTGTGTTTGAGGAGGGAGTGGACCGCCGCTCTCATCCTTCACCACTGAGCAGATGGGGCTCTTCCTCTTCCTCACTGATGTGGCTGTGGCCCCCAGGGACCATTCTTACAGAAAAAGGCCAATGCCAGTGTTTTCACTATACTACATTTCAAACTGATTTTGATCAGAAAATATACTTAATACTTGATGCCAATTTCAAAGTTTATTTTCAAATGCTTCTTGGGGACCAGAAACTGTATATTTTAACTTAATTATAACTAATAATAATATGTTTTGTATGTTCTTCTGATATACAGTAATTTAGAGACAAAAATATGAAAAAATGCTCAAAATATGTTTAATTCTGTCTTGTTTATGTATTTGATTTAGTATCTAGCTTTAGCAACAATTAGTATTTGTTTTTTCATACAATTGCAAAAAAGGCTGCTCTCGAAAAAGTCCCTGCTTAAAACAGCATATAGTCAAGTATTTTTATTGAATTGTCAGATAGAATTAAGTCCATAAGGAACATTTGATTCAAGATATAACAAAAACAATACCGAAATTTCCCCACTGTGGGACAAATAAAGGATCTCTTAATCTCAATATGACAAATCAGTCAATAGTCGTTGTTAGTTCATTAAAGGAATTCAAATGATTTTTATTGCATTTCTATGTCATTCCACAGTAATGAGAGTCTGGTAATATGTTTGTTTTTCAGAGAGCCACATTCCCAGAGACCCCTGGAGAAGGTGCTGCTGTTATTGGACCAGTGTGCGCATACAGTATATGAAAAACAACACTACTGCGCTTAACAACACAACATGACCTTGTCCTGTTTTCGCACCTTTTGAAGTGCGAGTACTGGGGGAAAAACACGGAGAGACTGCTGTTTTCAATAGGCAGCCACATTAAAGACCAGGCAGAGTGTAGATCATAAAACAGAGATAATCATCATGTGATATGGTTCATGGCGCATACATTTAAAATAGTCTTGATGTGATTTAGAGATATGGCTAACCATTGATTTGCAACAATATTACTCCCTATAATGCTATAGATTTGTAAATCATATATATATATTATATATTTTTAAATCATAGGTTTAAACTTCTGCAACTAATGCATAGTTGTCTTTATTTCTATATGGATTGTATATTTAGTATTTGCGGGACTAATCCTTAAAGCCAAATTACTGATACATCAAACAGAATGCTAATATGAATTAAAACATGAGGCTGGAGTATCTAAATTGTTTTTGTTTCATAAATTCATTTGTAATATGCACAGTTAGTGGTGTGATGAAGTCATTACATTTACAATTCATAATATGTTGCCTGAATGACACATTTAGCTCCTGCGTAATGATTACCGATGCAATCCACCTGCTGGGGTTTAGCTAGAAACGAAACGATACAAACTCTGTGTATTATCCACCACTGTATAGTTTTTGTACCTGGTTTCATTTAAATGTGTGGAGGTTGTATTTGTTTGTGAATTTTGTGAAAAAAGTGTTTTTGATTAATAATAAAATAATAACTGCTATTCAGAAAAAAACAAATATTGTTCTGGGGATACATACAGTACATGCAGATGTAATTGAAAACAGTTTTTGAACTAATCAGAATACAACATGCAGTCATTTTTAATAACATTTTACCGTTTACATACTGAGAGCTGATTGGCCGAGTGAGGGCTCGTATTCTCCTTTTCACTGAAAACGCTAAAGATGTGATCAGAGGCCAAAGATAAATGCAAGTGAAAACTGTTTTGAGATCTAGGAAGTAGTTACATGGATCTTATTACATAATTATTTTGTGTTTTCGAAGTTAAGTAGTGCAGCTTTAAGGTTTGATGCATTATTGGAACTATTTCAAGGTTAGGCAGAGCTATTTAAAGCATCGAGTGATTTGTTGAACCTTGTTGTTGATCTTATCTCCAATAGAGCGACATTAGCCGGTGATGCTGCTTGTTATCTAATGCAGAGGAGGGCTTTGGTGAATGTTTGCATCAGCGCATTGTAGGGTGCAGATGAAAGTGGACTGGGGCTTAGAGACTCTGAGTCACTCCCTGTGCCGGCTCACAAACAACAGGATAAAAATAGCAGACGAGTGACAGAGACATGAAGCCAGGCAGGTGGACGCGTAGAGGCGAGAGGCACCACAGGCAATCTGACAGCCCTGCGCCGAATCAATACAGTGGGAATAGAAGATACAGGAAAGGCGAGAGCAGTAGAGTAAACAACAACACGGCTTCACCTCCAAACGGCAGAACATTTCCTAAGCCCTGCCTCTCGTTACGAAAGAGAGGGGAGCGCATTTTATTAGTTTGTTCAGCGCAAGAATAAAAATACACAGAAAATCGTAGCCTATATTGCTCCAGCCTGTGGGATTGTAACAGCCACATGCATGAATTGTATTTGTTTCATTGTAAAAAAAGAAAATCTTACTCATTTCTCGGGTTGTCAGAAGCATCAAAAATCATATCTCAATTGATGCTAAAACTAGTATTGAACCGCAAGGATCAATACTTGGCCCCCTATTATTCTCACTGTACATAAATGATCTTCCCAAAACATGTACTAATGTGAGTTTTCAGATGTATGCAGATGATGCTGTAATATATACTCATGCAAGGAGCGTTAAGGAAGCAGCTTCCATTTTGACCTCAGCCATGGAGCAAGTAAATGACTGGCTGTTTAAATCATGCTTGCTTCTAAATTCTAAAAAAACGGTCTGTATGATGTTCTCCAAGCAATCAAAAGTGATTAAAAATTCTGGAGGTTTCTTGAGGGGAAGAACTAAAATTTGTCACAGAATTCAAGTATCTGGGTCTGACACTCGACTCCACTCTATCTTTCAAAAATCATATAAAAAAAACTGGCCAACACTGTTAAATTCAACCTCAAAAATTTAAAAAAAATCAGGTCTTTTTTAACACTTAGTGCAGCAGCAGCTAGAATGTTTCTCCATTCAATGATTTTATCCCATATTGAATATTGCATCACAAGTTGGTCTCTCACCTCTGTAACCAATTTGAAAATAATTGAATCTCTGTATAAGAAATCTCTTAAAGTTTTTGACAGAAAACCCAATTCATTTCATGCATGCAATATTTTAAACAAGCACAATCTTTTAAATGTTGAACGTTTTATCAACTTTAAGTATGTATGCTTCATTTACAAAGCACTACATGGACTAGCCCCACCTCCTGTATCGGCCTTATTCAAACCTATGACTTCAAGTGGTCTGAGGACTAGGGCTTCCTCCAGAGGAGACTGTGAGGTCCCCTTCAGAAAAACTGCCTTTGGACAGAACACTCTCTGTGAAGGCCAGGAACATCTGGAACAGTCTCCCTCTGCACTTACGGGAGAGTCCTACACTGGTCACGTTTAAAACTCAAATCAAACAATGGCTTAAGAGAAACCAGTCATGTGACCACTAGACTCTGAACTTTTCCCTGTGCTGTCTGTATTGTAGTGTTATTTTGTATTTTATTGTATTGTATTTTGTCATGTGTCTTCCTGCCTAGGGACCACGGATGAAAACTAGCTTTGTAGCTATAATCCGGCATATTTACATTTGTTTTATACTGATGTTCATTCATGTGCATTGTCCCTATCAAATAAATAAATAAATAAACCGAGATACTATTTTCAGAATATATCAATACTGAAAAAAACACATTAACACCAGGACTCCCAGAAACACCCATTCAAATCAATGTACTTCTAAAAAAAAAAAAAAAGGTTAATTTACCACCTGTAAACTAAGCTAAAAACTAAACTAAAAACTAAGGTTCCTTTACTAACCTGTAAAGGTAAAAAAATAGTGTTTTTACTTTTGATCACTTTCAATAAGTGCTGGTAAACATAATTTAAAAACAGCTAGTTACTTGGAAGACTATAACTGCTGTCAAGTAAACGTGTGTTGGTATTTCTTCTCTAGTGGAAAGCCCAGAACTCAGCCCAGAACCTGAACCAGTCCAGGACCAGTCCAGAACCAGCACGTTCAAGAAAATGCTAGAATGCTGTTTGCCAAGTGACCAAAATGGCTATATTTGATTTTTACATTCATGAGAAGTTAAAGGTAGAACTATTCACATTTCAAAAATAGAAGATGATTATCTGAGCCATTTTTGATTGATTTTGATCCCAGAACTTGGTACCATTTATCCCTGTCTTTGAAAGTGAATAGAAAAAAGGGCAAGAAATTGCATTGCTTATTATCACATACATGAGCCAAACGAGCCACACACACACCCATGTGACAAGTGTTAGTTGTTGTATAAATGAACATAAGTGATAGTGTAGTATATGTGAAATGCCCCTCTCACCTGTGCATATGCTGAAGAGTCATTGAGGGCTCTTTGAAGGGCGTGGCTCAGTCCTTTGGACAAGTTCTGCTTCAAGATCAGGTCCAAGCGATTTCTACGCAGCTCAAGAGATAAGACTAGAAGGAAAAACACATGTGTATAAGATTCTATAACACCAACAAGCTGCTACTGCTAATCTTAACCTAGACTTTGAAAACTTGCTGACCGTAAAAAAGGCTTATGATACCACCCTTTCTGCATTGAAATCAAAGGATCTACAGTTATTAATCTAAGTGTGTGCCTCAGGAAAATCTACCCATGCTTTGTGCCACTTTTAATTAATTTGCAGCTTGTAATTACAGCAGGGGCATGCATTACCTACTTTGTGCGAAGCTTCTGAAATTAAATCACAGTAGTGATTATTACTGCTGTGCTCTGGTTCTGTGCACACCTTTCCCACCACGCATGGCCTGAATAGTTCCTTCTGGTTTTATTTTCTCCCTGATTATTTCCTGGATCATGGATTGTGCATCAGTAGATAGGAGCTTAATGATGCAATGCACAGCTTTTCGATCATAAGAAGTTTAAAGTCAATCTATGTGAACCTGCTAGTCTCCAGTGCAGATGGACCGGTTTAACACAATACCATGGAACCACATTGTTGATAAAACAGGAATGTTTAGAAGAACAATTTGAAAAAAGCCATATATTTTTCCAAAATGAAATTTTATTAATTTGTTATCTGCAAATTTCTACTTTTATAATATTGTCTTTCACTATAAGAATGTGGCGATAGTGGCCAAAATATAAAAGTGACCTTTGATAGAGTAAAATCACAATGAACAACCATTTTATACATTATTTTGTATGTATTGTTTTACAGTAATATCTGTAATGGACCGCAGGAAGAGTAGTCTGCACTTTGCTTGAGGCTAATGAGAAAAATACATTTTAAATTAAATAGTATAAAACCAAGGAACCAAGGTACAAAACACAGCTCTAAAGCAGACCACACTAAAGAATAGCCAATTAGAGAATAAATCCCACCTGTCTTGACGTAGTACTTCTCAGTGATGTTGCATGGTAGAGCAATTTCTTCCGCGCTGGTGCTGGAGGGTGGTTCTGTGGTGGTGGTTGGAGGTGGAGTAGTTTGAATAACAAGAGTAGTTGTAGGGGCTTGTGTTGTAGTAGTAGCAGCTGTAGTAGTAGTAGTAGCAGCTGTAGTAGTAGTAGTAGCAGCTGTAGTAGTAGTAGCAGCAGCTGTAGTTGTAGTAGTAGCAGCAGTAGTAGTAGTTGTAGGAGGTTCGGTAGTTGTAGTAGTTGTGGTAGTGGCTGGTGTAGTAGTAGTAGTAGTAGTAGTAGTTGTTGCTAGAGTCGTCGTAGTTGTAGTTGTTGGAACAGGGGTAGTAGTAGTAGTAGCAGCAGCAGTAGTAGTCGTCATTGCAGCAGTCGTAGTAGGGACAGGGGTGGTAGTGGTGGCCCTGGTGGTGGTGGTTGTGGTTGGTGGTGTAGTAGTAGTGGTCAGCTTAAATGTAACGGTTGGTGCTTTAGTTGCAGTTGTAACATTAGTAGTTTTCTCATAGCGCAATGATGTCACAGCCGGAGCGCTTGTTGAGGGCAATGTCGTGGTTACTGTCGTTAAAAGCAGCCCATCACTGGTCACAGCCGCGGTGGACACAGCTGGAGTAGAAATAGTGGACACGGTTGTTGATATAGGTGTGGTTAAAGCTTGCGTTGCTTTCGCACTCGTCGAGGCATTTGGTGTGGTTGTGGTGGTTGTGGTGGCAATGGTAGCGGTAGAGTCTGTTGAGGTGGTTTTTGGTTTTGCCGGAGCGGTGGTGTTCCATTGGCTTGTGGAAAACGGGCTGGTGACGTTGGCGGGGAGGGTGAGGTCATGGTCGCCCACGGTGGATAAGAGAGACTCTGGGACAGTGGGGAGGTCCCAGGCTGGCAGGCTGGCCACGGAATCATCTGAGAAGAAAACACAGATTTTTTTTCATAATGTGGATTTTATTTTTGTACTTGGTTTGATTTTGACTTCCTGTTCTGTGGTTTGGTTTTAGTTTTGTTGCCCTGCCCTCATGTGTTCCACTTGTGTCTGTGTCTGTGTCTATTGTACCCTGTGCTCCTCTCCCCTGGTTGCTGGTCCATTGTTTTCCGTTTGGATTTTCAAGTTTGTTTTTACCTTGGATTTTTTATTTATCATCATCATTACATCATTATTTTTGACATTCTTGAATTTTTGGGTCCTCCTTGACTTCACCACACGACCGATTTAGCATTATTTCAACAGGAGCATCTGAAGTCATAAACATTAATGTGTGGTCCTTGCCTGGCCTTAGCCATCCGTACACTCAATCATCATTTCACTGCATGTAACGTCTGGGTCTGGTCCCTGTGTTAGCGATTACAATCGGTTGAATTCCATCCGACCAATCAGCGAGCGTGGGAGGCGGGTGTTGTAGTTAGATGTGGGTGACGTCAAGAGTTTGCGTCGAACGGGCAAGTTGTAGTTTGGCAATGGCAAAAAATGCGAGAGTAAAGTAATCCGGTCTGGTTCTATCAAGAAATTGAATCTGGAGCAAGAGGAATATTTAGCAAATGTAGTCACTGGCAAAAATTGTGGCGCTACTCCCCACGGGCTCCGTTAGCGGCAAAGGATAAATGCTAAATGCTAACGGCTCACTCAGGCGCATTACATACGTCATGGTAAACTCAGATCCAATCGTTTCAATCTGCAAAAGGAGTTAACCCCTCCCACCTGTTCACGGAGCTCAATGAAGCACCTCCAGACCTCAGTACAAAATGTAATTTGTACTATGGTGTGGTACGACCAGGCCAGTGTGGTCCTAATATTCTTCATGTTTGCGGTGATAGTTTAGAATTGAATCTTATTTTTTGGCACAAATGTTACATGTATACTATATCATATTTAAATCTTATTTCAAAGAACAAATTCAATCTCTATCTTCTGACTGAATTGATATAAATGGAAGTCGATGAAAGAAAGCGAGGAGGATTCCACTTTTTTTAGCTAAAACGACGGAAAATCTGCATTATTCAAAACGATAATAATAAATTGTAAAATTGTCAACAGAGACGTACCCAGAGTGAAGCTGCTGTTGCTCTGCGAGGAGTTGCTGACACTCTCTGGGGAGGTGGTCTGGGTGGTCTGGGTGGTCTGGGTCGGCCTGGCTGTGCTTGTGCTGCTGACTATAGAAGAGGTGGTGGAGGTGGTGGGGGCTTTTGTTGTCGTTGTGGAGGAGGATCTGGATGAGGATGAAGAGGAGCTTTTGGTCCAAGACGCTTTTGAAAGCAGCCCCAGTCGTTTGGCTGCAGCTGGAGCCTGCATCTCCGCCGTGCCTGCCAACATGCTGATCATCGATGAAAACGAGGCCTTTTCTCTTCGCCCCAGCAAAGCAGAGTCCACAGGTCTCCACTGATCCACCTCGGCCTCCACTTCGGTCCAGGTCCGAGCTCCGGTCAATGACTCTGCAATAACTTTCCCATCTGCCCCTGTGCGCACCTCTTCCTCCGTCTCAGTCCACATGGATTTGGCCTTGGAGAACACTTTGAGGGTTGTGTCTGCTCCATCCATAACAGGTTCAGTCTCCAGAGCATCTGTGAGGTGGGGGGGCACTGTCTGCTCCTGGGTCTTCAGGTCAACTGCACGAAACACAAAATGAGAGACGGTCACAGATTAATTGGTATCCAAAAAAAGCCCAACAAAATCTGACCAATCTCTGAGTCATCATTCCCAAAGGCTGGACCAAGCATTCTATTTCTAACTCTAAATAAAACACACTTCACCGCACACAGACACTGCTGTAACTGCCCATCATTAGTCCTTATAAAACAATCGTCCGACCGCAGTCGATTGACTGGAAAAGTGCTGGGTTCATTCAGGCGTACTCAGATGTCGTATGTCCTGCCACTAGAATGCATTTGTGCAGCTATGGAAATGCTATAATAAGCTATAATAAGGAGTGATGTTATGTTGATGTTTAATTGATAATGAGCTATTTTGAGGAAATACAAATCGTATGAATCAGAGGAGTCAGAGCTAATAAAAAGGAAATGAATCAAAACTTGCAGACCTTAACTAAAGGTTACTTGTTACATTTATGTAGTTATATGTTAAGAATCAAGGAATATTTGGAGCTCCTAAGAAGCTCCTGGGGTCGATTCAACTTTCAGACGAAGCCTTTCTGAGTGGAGTTTGCATGTTCTTCCTGTGTAGGTTTCCTCGGGGTGCTCATCTTTCCCCTCCTGTGTCCCACCCTCATGCTACTAACATGTACAGATGTAAACATACAACTATATATTTCTGCACTAGAATATACAGTACTTTATGCGTCTTTATTATGCTAAAGTATTACAGATTATAGACTGCTTAATTTTTATGCTAAAGCTAGGGATTTTATTTTATGTTATTTTATTTTGTAGAGAGTTTTGTATAGAGCGGAGTTCATTTATGTATTTTTCCTCACCAAGGATTAAATTAAATTACTTATATTTTTCCCACCCCAGCAGTGAAAATTCAATGAAGTAGGTCAATGATGTTTTAAATCAAGGAATTAATTGAAATGTTCCAGAGTTGGTAAATTAGGACACCGCCGCATCAGCGATGACTTCACTGATATTAATCTGATCACGCACAGATGAAATTTGACATGGAGTTATCTTTCCTCGAGCCCACACCATTCTGTGCTCGCAGGGATTCAGGGAGGTGGCTGGCTTGTTTTCTCAGTATTTTTCCTCGATACTTTGATTCAGAAATTGGAGTATATAGCAGGGGACGAAAACAAGCCCTGTGTCATGGTGTTGACATTTGGTTGACTGATTCATGTGTGGTTTTATTTTGCTCTCTGTTTAGTTCTCTTGTATTATTTGATGTTTTAATATGAAGCTGAAGAGGAACGTCAGAGTGGAAGACCTGAGAACGTAGCTCTCCTGCTGTTGCTGTGGGCAACAGCAATCAGTCAATCACACTCAGCTACGCAGCGCCTCACGCAAATCCTCACCTACAGCAATCAGGCACTGCCCGCATCAGTTTCATATCACACAGAAGCTCCATCCAAGCAGCAGCTTCAGTCATGCTGCAACCCTCCTCCTCCCCATCTCCGTCTTGTTCCAGGCCAGCTCCTTCATCCTTCTCCTAGCTACCACCACCAGGGTCTAGGCCCCGGGGGATTTAATCTCTTAATCTCTTTCCCCTTCTGCAATTGTGCAGTGCTCTGCCGGGGTCTAAGCGCCAAATCCCAACCACATTCTGTTCAGCACAATAAATGTAATCTTGAAAATATTGTCTTTAGTGTCATATGTGTAATTCATGCAGTGTCAGATTACCTGCCAACCAACATACAATTCTAATACCATGTTTTGCCTGTTCGAGTCTCTCCATATTAAATCCTGTCCTGTTCAAATGTTGACTATTGTTATTTGAATTTGGTATCTTTTATACTTTATTTATGAGTTTTTGGCTTTAGAGATTGATTGGTCAAAATTTCATAATTCAAAAACATAACAAGGAAACAATTTTAATACAAAGTAGCAAATACATAAAATAATAATAATTACAAATAAAAAATGAGTAAAAATAAAAAGAAGGTATATAAAATAATACAATAAAATACAATAAAAATAATAGAATAAAAAAATAAGTAAATAACACACACACACACACACGTGTGCACACACCTTCACCTCCTAGCAAGGGCAATATTAATTTTTGAATTGTTTATTTCCTCCTCAACCACTTTACCTTCACATACATGGTACTAACAAGATGTTACAAGTGCAGGTTTTTTTTTTTTATTGGAATTGTCTGCCCTGTTCTAAAATGTTTCACGTGTGTCATGTACCCTGTGCTTGTGCATTGTCAATGTGTCTTTCCCTGGTTCTTTCATTCTGTTTGGATTGTTTTAATTTTGTTTGTGATCTTAGTTCTTAACCTCCATCACAGCTTTAAGATCTTCTTTAATTTTCACCTTGTGACACCCTGCATTTGAATCAGCAAAAAGACTAAGATTATGATTCTGATATCATATTCACCCTCCACACACGCTGCCATGTTGTTTTGCAGTTGCTTGGCTTTGTATAATGCATTGGCAAAAGCACACATAGATAGAACCAAGTGTGAAAAAAAGTCTATTGCTGTGAAGAAGCTTTTCTGCCAAACACAAAGGAAAAGATTCTCTATTATTCAGTTCTGGAGAAGGAAATGACTCATATCTAAATACAAAGCAGTGGAGAAAGTGTGCTGTCAAAACATTTAGTTTTACCATTTATCTCCATTCTAAACCATCCCCATATTTCCTGAACCCTACAGAAAGCTCTTAGAGGCAGCTTGCCTCAGTGCATGACGACGCCTTACACTAGAATACAAAACGCTTTAGTGCTGGTCAGCTGACGAGCTGTTAGACATCGGCCTCATTTAGACTTTATTCTTAAAAACAAGCTTTAAATCCAGAAGTGTTTTGTGAGATCTTCATGAGCACAAGAGCCGGCTGCACTCTTTCCACACGCCTTTTCTCTCTGCGGACGACTGGTTAATTAAAAGACAGCGATTGTGGGCAAGTGGGGGCTTTAGTGGAGCAGCTCAGAGCTTAGCCGCTGTATATCCTCTGGACACCTGCTATAAAGCATCCCCAACCATCCGGCTATTAGCCACAGTAACCTAACAATCTGTTACTTATTATGGGATGTCACATCACAAACTCCATTTTAAAGACAGTAATCCTTTGCTGATGGGATTTCCATGCACCGTGCCTCATGTAGTAGTATTAATCTCTGCTGCATATTAGTGACAGAAGATTATTTTGTCACAGTAAAAAAAAATACTGTTGCAAGACCTCAGACTTAGCTTTTCATTCACATTCCTCATTAAGGGCCATATCCAGAATAGTTAGCTGTGTTTTGAGTGTGTTCTCCTCCCGGCGCTAACCACCTGCTCAGGCTGAGAGCAACATATGTGATCCCACCAGACCTCTGACAAACACTGGGACCCTTCATGGGCATGATCAATGCCTCTCTCAACACACCATACAAAATGTGGATTAGACCTGGATCAAAGCAGACCTGACCCATTTTATCAGTCAAACCAAACCATACAGGGGTTTTTGAAGTTGGAAAGATTATCAAGCTTACATAGAGATTAGCAGAATTATGATGTTGAAACAGTGCATTGAAACAACAGTGTATTTACATTTCTATGGACAAATGTGTGTATTACAGTTATATTGACCATAGTGCTCTGTTTCCTGATAACTCTGGAATGCATGCCAAGTGTCTGTATACAATTACGCAGCTGGCGGCTTATGTGATACGGCTTTTGACTGTTAACATTGGGATAAACTGAACAGAGGTGTGTAAAAAAAAATCCCATCTCGCTGTGGTCAGTGTTGGGTGTAAACACAATTAGAAATATAAATTGACTGTAATTATATTACATATTAATTGACTCCCCCCTGGACTGCCACCTTAACGTGGTGGGGGAGTTTGAGTACTCAGATGATCCTGGGAGCTATGCTGTCTGGGGCTTCATGCCCCTGGTAGGGCCTCCCATGGCAGACAGGTCTCAGGTGACGAGTCAGACGAAGCGCAGTCCAAAAACCACCATGGATCGCACTATAATGAGAGCAGTGACGTCGCCCGGCATGGCGCAGCCGGGGCCCCACCCTGGAGCCAGGCCTGGGGTCGGGGCTCGTATGCGAGCGCCTGGTGGCCGGGCCTTAGCCCACGGGGCCCGGCCGGGCCCAGCCCGAAGGGATGACGTGGGCAGTCCCTCCTGTGGGCCCACCACCTGCAGAGGGGTCCGTGGTGGCGCGGTGCTGAGAGGACTGGGCGGCAGTCGAAGGCGGAGACCTCGGCGACCCAGTCCGCACACACAACATCTGGCTCTTGGGACGTGGAACGTCACCTCACTGGGGGGGAAGGAGCCCGAGCTTGTGGGGGAGGTTGAGCGATACCGACTAGAGATAGTCGGCCTCACCTCCACACACAGCTTGGGCTCTGGAACCCAACTCCTTGAGAGGGGTTGGACGCTCCACTTTTCTGGAGTTTCCCGCGGGGAGAGGCGGCGAGCTGGGGTGGCCAATCTCATTGCCCCCCATCTCAGCCGCCATGTGTTGGAGTTCTCCCCGGTGAATGAGAGGGTCGCGTCCCTCCGCCTCCGGGTGGGGGACAAGTCTCTCATTGTTGTGACGGCCTACGGGCCTAACAGCAGTGCAGAGTACCCGGCCTTCTTGGAGTCCTTGGGAGGGGTACTGGACGGTGCACCGCCCGGGGACTCCGTTATTCTCCTGGGGGACTTCAACGCTCATGTGGGAGTCGCCAGTGACACTTGGAGAGGGGTGATCGGAAAGAACGGCCCCCCTGATCTGAACCCGAGCGGTGTTCAGTTGTTGGACTTCTGTGCCAGTCACAGTTTGTCCATCACGAACACCATGTTCGAGCACAAGGGTGTCCACCAGTGCACGTGGCACCAGGACACCCTAGGCCGGAGGTCGATGATCGACTTTGTTGTCGTATCATCTGACCTTCGACCGCGTGTCTCGGACACTCGGGTAAAGAGAGGGGCGGAGCTGTCAACCGATCATCACCTGGTCGTGAGTTGGATCCGCTGGCAGGGGAAGAAGCCGGTCAGACCTGGCAGACCCAAGCGT